GGGGGGGGTAGTTTTAGGGTGAGTAGACCAGCAGGCACAGTGGTGATCAGGCAGGCAGGCAGGTAGGTGAGCGGTTAGGAGCCAGCGGTCCTGGATTGCGGGAGGGATGTTCGACTGCCAGTTTGGGATCGGGCCTAAACTGTCAGTCAGACATCCTCCGAGGGGTCCCAGATTGGAGAGGGTGCTGGCTGGGCTGAGGGACACCCTCCCCTCCCCCCCCCCCCCCGTGCACGAATTTTGTGCAGCAGGCCACTAGTGTGGATATAAAATACGAGGAAAGACTTTTCCAAAGTATTTTGAAAGTTTTAAAAATATTTTATTACAGAACTGTCCAAAAGTAGACATTTATTAATCAGTTTTTCTCATTTCTGTAAGATTTGGTTGTGAGAGAAGTAGTAGAGTAGTACCTGTCTTGGAAGTCAGGAGATCTGGATTTTTGTGTTGATCTATAATTAATTAGCTGTATGTGACCTTAGGCTACTCATTTATCCTTTCTGGCTCTTATTTTCTGAAAAATGAAGGTCCTTTTCTGTCAGGGCCAGCCTGACAGGTTGAGCTGGGCTGAGGCAGGGAGGTGGGAATTGAGAAAAGAAAGAAAGACAGGAAAGCGGGATCAGGAGGACTGCAGCTCATTCGAGGAACTACAACAACTTTATTAGCCACACAATCCTATTTATACACAACACACTGAATAGGAGGTCTGTCAAGAGGAATGTATTCTTTGTTCCTCTTAATCTCTAATAAGGGAGAGACACAGCAGAAGGACAAGTTCTCAGTACAGCATATCTCAGTAAATAGTTACAGACTTCTTGGTAAGCCATGAAAGGCTGTTCTCATTCTACAAAGGTTGCTCTCATTCTACTGATAACCGCCATCCAAACAAGTCTGGGAAAACTGTGTGGGTAAGGGTCCCAGCCTTGCTAGCCTCTTCAGGTGCAGGGACCTTGCCAGCTTACATCTGGCCCCCAACACTTTTCCATTCCTACAATGCTAAGATGCTATTAAGTAAGGTTTGTAGTAAGTTCAGCTTATTGAAGATTTAATACAGATATTCTCTTTTTATATTTACATTCATATGTTTGGTAATACATTTGGTTGTCTAAACATTTGTTGAATGTTTTCTGCCCTCTACTATGCTAAGTGTCGGAAACTTAACTGAATAAGGCAGTTATGGACCTTGCCACTATGGAACAGTGTTTAATGGAGAAGAGTGGAATTAAATATTATGGAATTAATTATTTTATCCAGTTGTAATATATAACTGAGAAGATTGAATAGCAGAATGAGAAAAGTAGCAGAAAGAATGAGAGCAGGGGTACTGTGAGAGTGGGTCAGTAAGAAAGAACAGCGTATTTACAGGCCCTGAGTGAGGATCCTGAAATGCTAAAGAAGTTTGAGAAGGTGTAATTCCAGAGTGAGGCACACAGCATGTAACTGGTGAGATGGGATCAGTGTAGTAAAAATTACTTAATGTCTGTGAAAGTCAAATAAGTGTTTTTGTTGGGTGGTTATTAGTTGTTTCATATTGTCTGTGTCCTGTCCCTCCTCACTAAGAATGCCTGCGAATTTTAATGTATCGTTTACTGAAAATTAGCAAATTTATACACTGTTCTTGTTTACATTTTTGTTACGGAATTTATCTATTTGATTTTTATTTTCATTGCTGAATAGTTTATAAATGGAAGTTTCTTATGTCTCATACCCTGAATTTATAGGCACATATATTAGCTTTGTAACAATGTGGAGTTTTTGTACTGAGTTTTCTCAAGTCTGAGATTGTTTCATTTAAATTCCCCTCATAATACTGTTGGATCATGTGTTTTATCTTCATTTTGTTTATTTGTACAAACTTACTGACATAAATTGAGATAAACATTGATTTTTGAAGTGCCAGTAAAAAAATAAAATTTTCCAAATGATTTAGTGTTTTCCTGGTCTATGAAGTGGGGTGTTATATCATCTCCGGCTGCACTGTTGATACCCTTTTAGAGGAGGTGGTAGGCTCAGTCTTATATTCCGTAAGCATTAAGTCCAGCTAACCAGTTTCCATTTTATAGCAATGATTCCTGTTTATAAATAATAAAAAATTATAGATATTTTGATAATGGAAACTTTTTTTTTTATCCAGGACACCATTGCAGTGGCTGGTTTTATTGTTTTGTCTTCACCTACGACAAGCAAAGATGGTGAACATTGCTTATTTTTGAAAGCACTTGAGGACTTCAAGTCAACTGTTTATGTAAGTGTGTAACTTTTAGTCTCTACTCATGTTATGGTTTTAATGAGGTAAGGTGATGGAATAGAAGTAGTGTTTCTATAAATCTGCAGGTAAACTATTTAGCCTGACTGAATTATTTTAATTTAATATTTTAAGTTTTAAAAATAGAAAATATTTTTTCTGACTTTATGTTTAGATGACTCCAGGTAGACAATAAAAATCCCTTAAAGATAGTTACTTATTGATGAAAATGTTGAAACTCCACAGGCACTCCAGACCTCATCTTATTCTTTGCAGTTATATTGTCAGCCTCTTTGATGATCTATTGAATTGCACTTTTAAGTTGATCAAGTATCCCTTTTTAGGTAAAACTTATTTCCTCCTATTTTATTCTTTATGAAGGTGCTCATTCTCTCTGTCTTTACTTTATCCCTCCTCCAGACCCACCCCCCACCCCACACACATTTGGAGACCACCTGTTTGAGGAAAACTGTCATATAGAGTTGGGTCAAGCCATGTACATACAGGCCAACATCTGCCTGTTTCTCTCTAGTATGCACAGGGCATTATTGGGCTAGAGGTTGTCCTGTGGTATTAAAATTAATGAATTAGACTGAAGCTTAGCTTAGACAACTTTACACGTCACTGTTAATTTATAAGCCATAACTTTATGCCACTGTGATGCGTTTGAATATTATATACAGTTAAGTGTGTAGTTTTGCTACAATTAAAGGTCTGTAACCACATTAGAAGTTGTTGTATACAAATAAACCCTTTCTGTGTTTTTTTTTCAGGTTTATGTTAAATCTATAATAGATTTTTCTACAGAGTCAATGTCTTTGGTAAGATGATATTTACTTTAATTTAGAACATGTACACACACACCCACATATACACAACTATAGATACACACATGAATATATATGTATATTTATAATCTGATTTTGAAGTAGTATTTGATTCAGTGGGAAAACATAATCTCTACTTTTTTGATACCTGATGTTCCATTCAAGGTATATATTTACCTAGTAGTTATTACCTGGTTATTCTGTTGTCTGGAAGATCTGCTGATGTTTTCTCTAAGCTACATGCATAAGGAAACTGAAGCAGAAAAAAATTTTATTTGTGTGAAGACATTGGGATTTCTACTACTTTTAAACCTTAGCCAAATGTATTTCTTTCATTTTAATCAGATTGTATTTAAACAGATTTTTATGTGTTGAATTATGTAATTAGAAGTAGTTTTTTATGCTTGTCAGACATTTTGCTCTTCGTTTTTTTTCACTTTTTTCAGTATTTAACACTACGGTGTCGGGTGAATTTCCCGCCAAAATATAAGATGGCGCGGGCAATTATTTAGGTTTCCCGCACAAAATCAGAGTTAGTTTAAAATGCCTATATCTTTTGAAGTATGGGTTCGATTGAAATGAAATTTTCGGTTTCTTGTGTAAAAAATGAAAATTTATTCAATCACAGACATTTTTTTATCTATTCAGTACATAAATAATTCGATATATATAAACTAAATATGAAAAACCCAAAAAATACTTATTACCTAAAAATATACACATATTTTTAAAGTTTAAAATAAAATTTTCATAATAAATCAAAACAAATAGAAATTAATAGTTTTTTAGCGTATGATATTTTTCAAAACACGCCCCTTTATGTAGAGGTATATTGCAAAATTTGCACATGTAGCGTGTCTCACTGCGCAATTTATGAACGGAACATACGCGACACCTTCTCAAAATGTTTTTCTTTTTTCCACTTCCGACAATTGCCTGTAACGTATGCTTTCTCATGTCCATCGATAGCCTGCATGGTGGATCAGATGTAGGTGGTTTAGCCCGCATTCCAGAAGTAGACGGTACTGGTTGAAGGTCTGGAACAATGTCCATGTCCTCTGGAATATCATCCGTCAACCAGTGGATAGCTGTTTGTTTCAAAAACATTTTAAAACCCATTTTTCTTTGCCTCACTGATTTGTAAACTGCATAAGAATTAAATAATGCGCAATTTATCATATACATTGCCAACCTTTTTGTCCATTTGACCGTCCTCCGCAATATCGAATAATATGAAAGGTATTGGTCGGCCCGGTCAACACCTTTCATATGTTTATTGTAGTCAATGAGTGCATTCGGTTTGACAATTTTCTTTTTTGATGTTCTGTCAATATTCTGACTTTCTTCCATCTCCGCAGAATGAATCGAAGAAATCAGGTATACAGGCTTTTTTGATTGCCACACTTGTAACAATATATCATTTTTCCTTATAAATTTTGTTTCACCTTTTTTCAAAGAAATTGTTTGAAAATCTTTAGGTATACCTCGATTTTTCCGGATTGTTCCACATATTCTGAATTTGTTTTTCATAAGTGCTTCACAATTTGCGACGCTATTATAATAATTGTCCATATATATATGGTACCACGAATCAGTGTATGGAGACACTACTGTTTGTATCGTTTCCAATAATCACTTTCCTTCGCCGCAATAAATTTCCATGTTACAGATATATCCTGTATCACTTTCGCACAACAAACGAACCAATATTCCATATTTAACGATCTTGCCAGCATTATATACCCTAAAGAATAATCTTCCCCTCCAAGGTACGATCCCTTCATCTAGTGATAATTGCTGATGAGGTTTGTAAATATTTATAAATTTAGGCACAAAATAATCTAGTACTGGTCTCACTTTGCAAAGTCTATCTGATTCATTTACGATATCCGCATTATTATTGAAGTGCCAAGCTTTCCATATCTGTCGGAACCTGTCTCTCGTCATCGTTTTACCAAAATATGGCGTCTCCGTCCATGGCTCCGTGGTCCAATAGTCATCTCTTCTATCTTTGCGCACCTGTCCCATGAGAACAATTAACCCTAAAAACTTCATCTCTTGAGGGGTTATATCTTTCCACTTTAGGCTTTTTTTTGAAAGTTTGAAATTATTCCTATTTTGATTATAATACCTGTTTGACTCCTCTACAAGAAATTCAAAAAAATCATCTCCGATAAATAATTTCACGGCATCTTCTATATTATTTATAACAGCATCTGTGTTTAATCCTTGATGCCCTAAAAAATCTTCTAAGACCGGTGGATTATCAACATGCGACCATTCTTCTCTCCCGCCTTCTATATCTGACTCTGAGTCAGAGCTGGAGCTCGAAATTCTTCGTCGCCTCAATGTCCTGGGACGCACCATTACTTCATCATCACTAGAATCTTCATCACTTGTACTCGCATTTTCAAGATCGCTATCACAAGAATAATTGGACAACTTGTCTGCACAAAACTCATCATCACTATAGTCTGAATGCTGCGACATTCTAGGTTAAAGCAAATAAAAATAATACTAACTGAAAATAGCGGTACTCCGATAGATATCTGATATAAAAAAATAATTATTATGCGAACACTTTGCGGAACGATTTTATTTTATTTGGTTAAAAAATTCTATATGAATGTCTTTATCACAATATATTTAAATATTTAAACACGTAATAATATTCACAAAACTCAAAACTAAAGACGTCCGGACACAAGAAGTATTTCTCAATAACTATTCTCTTTGCATGGTGAGATATCCAGGGATATCGGTTATAACATGAGAAAACAATACATTGGTACCCTAACGGTATTGTACTCGACCAGCGCCATAAAGTGTTCTCTACTTACAAGGGATTTTTATGATACCTATTACCCCAATGGGTATGAAACGGTTCGCATACACAGGTAGGTATCTTTGTGAACGGCAAACAAACAAATATTTGGTAATACGCAGTTACAATCGGCCCGAGTTTACACGTTTCCCGCACTCCACCGCAAATCTATATGAACCGAGTTAAGACGGCTCCCGCGGAGTACGCGCAATTCACGCCAGCCGACTTAACTCGTTTCCCGCAATCCAAGTGTTAATAAAATTTTATTATCATAACACTAGGAAGTTCCCATTTTTACAAGTGAGCTACTTGTAGCTGAGTGCAAATGGAAAGAAGCTAATCCTATACAATGGGGCCTTGACTTACGAGTTTAATTCGTTCCGTGATGGAGCTCGTAACTCAAATTACTTGTATGTCAAATCAAAAAGTGAACGAGTGAGACACGTGATGCTGGGCTGATGTTGTGGCGTTCACTGTGGCGTTTGCTGTGCCAACTAGCGGTGGGGTATCTGAAGCTGGCTCATAACCTGAATTTTAGCTCGCAACTCAAAGCAAAAAATCAGCCGAGAGATGGCTAGTATCTCGAAAAACTCATTAGTCGGGACACTCGTAAGTCAAGGCCCCACTGTATAATAAAAGGCTAATATACAAATGGGCCGAACGGCGGAACAATCATTCGCTATTACGTGCATTGACCATCAGGGGCCAGACGCTCAATGCAGGAGCTGCTCCCTGGTGGTCAGTACGCTCCCACAGTGGGAGCACCGCTCAGCCAGAAGCTGGGCTCATGGTTGGTGAGCACAGTAGCAGTGGTCGGAGCCTCTCCTGCCTCTGCGGCAGGCAGACATCCCCCAAGGGGTCCCGAACTGCAAGAGGACACAGGCTGGGCTGAGGGACCCCACCCCCAGTGCATGAATGTCCTGCACTGGGCTTTTAGTGTCACGATAAAGTTTAATACAAAATTTGTATTCTACTATGTTCTTAAGCCCTTAGTTTCTAGTGGGCAAACAAGAGTTCAGAGATTTTGTTTCTAGTTGACAATGACTATTAGGTACAGGTTTTAGATTCTGAATAATTCTATAATGGTATAATTTGAATTTTTGATTTAGGGAAAGTATAACCAATTAAAGGATTAATGTACTTTGTTAAAATAAGTAAATTAACCCCAAATATTAGTATTTCTCAGAATTAGTATAAATAGATCAGGTTCAAGCATCCATGAACCCATAAATAAGGCAGAGGTAAACAAAGGAGCCTCTAAACTTGAGGAAAGTGGTTGTTCAGAAAGCCCAGGTATTCTGAACTATTAGGATATAACTTAGCTGCTCTGCATACATATACTAACTTATTTACATGGAAAGGCAAATTATGGTTAAGTTGTTTGTTGGCTATGAATTAACAAGTACATTACTTAGATGACCAAAATAGATATGGTCATTCATTTATACATTAGGGAGATATTTCTTAAGATAGTATATTGGTGGGTAGTAGGACCAGATGTTTGAACTCTTTTTTTTTAATAATATATTTTATTGATTTTTTACAGAGAGGAAGGGAGAGGGAGAGGGATAGAGAGTTAGAAACATCGATGAGAGAGAAACATCGATGAGAGAGAAACATCGATTCGGCTGCCTCCTGCACACTCCCTACTGGGGATGTGCCCGCAACCAAGGTACATGCCCTTGACCGGAATCCAACCTGGGACCCTTCAGTCTGCAGGCCGACGCTCTATCCACCAAGCCAAACCGGTTAGGGCATGAACTCTTTTATGGATTGTTTGACAGATATGTAGACTTAAACTTGGGAATCACTTTCCCTTTTCTTTCCAAACTTATATACAGTTATTTCAGAAAATTTCATTTTTCTTACCATTTTTAATGTCTTCACACCATTTATAATCAAAACCTAGCTTTATTTAGGCCAAAGTAAAATCTGTTTCCCACAGATTCTGAAGTGATATTACTTAGGGTTAAAAACCAGAACCAAAATCTTTTAAATGTCATTACTTAGAATTGTGTACAAATTATACCATTTATGATCAAAGTTATTCCTAAGAAAAATTAATACTAGTGGTTTATATAGCAACCTTTTAAGCTGTACATTTCCTTTTTCAAGCTTCAGCCTCTTATCAGACACTCAAAAGAAAAAAAATGTGGTTAGATGACTCTTCTTTGATCATAATATGATTCTAAAATGTAAATATTTAATATTGACTTATTTACTGTTTTTCTTCAGGTTCCAGCAACACGTTATACGTACACACCGCTGAATGAACTCAAAGGTGGCATGATTGTCAATGTCTATGGCGTTGTGAAGTTCTTTAAGCCTCCATATCTAAGCAAAGGAACTGGTAGGTATTCAAATTGGTCAAGATTCTAATAAACTGGCGCTGTTTTATTGGTTTCAGGAATACAGTTTCAGTATCCTGTCTTAGAAGCTCAAGTCATATTTACAATTGCCAACCAACACTCATGTGTTGGCCTGGGGCTTGTGGGCTGGGGGCAGCTCCTGTGTTGAGCGTCTGCCCCCTAGTGGTCAGTGCACATCATAGCGACTGGTCGTTCCTTTGTTCGGTCGATTTGCATATTAGGCTTTCATTATATAGGATACACAACACACTTTTACCTTGATTTAATTCAGCTGAACTAAATCAACATTACTCTATTTAATCTAATCTGAAACATTATCTGTAAAAGCCATTATTCTATGTGGTTAAGAAGAGAAGAGCACTGCCAATTAAGCTATGCTTCACTGTCAAATGTAAGATGTGATCAAATTTTAGATATGTTAAAAATGTGGATCAGTGGTGGTGTTGATGAAATACTTTACTACCTGCTGGGAACTGTGGCTCATGTTGGGAACACAAAGATGTTCTCACTGAAATCATATTTTTAAAAGATTTTGTATATCACATTATGGATGTGCAAATTTTATTATGGTAGAATGAGCTTGAAGTGTGCTCTTTAGTGGGGTGACGAGGGAAATATCTTATTTTCATATGGTCAGCTATTTTGTTAATGTGTAATGGAAAGACTTAGTCTATATGAAAATGGTCCTGTGAAGCCTGCTAGCATAGAGATGAGAAGTTTGAAATAGGTGTTAACTAAGTCTGAAGACCACAAAGGGTGTTTTATTGGAAAGCCTGTTTTAGCGGAAAGAGAAACAGTAAACATTAAAGTTAAAGCAGATAAATGTTTGTTTAAAAATGTATTTTTCCCATATTTTCATCTGACTTTATTTTTCCCAAGTCTTCATTTCCCACCCCATCATACCATTCGACATACATTTTTGCATACTTTCATCTTAGTAGTTTCTTCTGACCATCAGATTTTTTCCCTCTCTGAATCTTACATGTGCTCATTCTGGGAATTTGCTATAAAGAAATGATAACTTTGATCCTCCTCCATTTGCAAGTGTTATCTGGCTGGCTGTAATTGGCCTGCCAAATTGAGGATAAGCCACATTGCTGGTAATAATGTCCACCGAACTTGGTTAAAGATATAACTTAAAAATTTTTTTGCACTTGATATGTTGCTAATTCTTATCATTAAAAGTTTTTAGTAAATTAATCAGTAAACATATTATCAAAAATAATAAAATGATAGTAATATAGAATAAAAGTATAACTTTAAAGCATTGATAACTCAATATTAATTTTAAATTATTAGCATAATAAATTTCTTCAACAATGTTATTAAATCATGTACATATAATGAAAGCATTGGGGAACTATAATATTTATTATCCTATGTAATAAAAGCCTAATATACAAATTGTCCCCTTGACCAGGAGTTCGACCGCTCGCTATGACATGCGCTGACCACCAGGGGCTGGCGCGAATATGGCAGGCGTTGGGGATGCAGCGCCAGCAACAGGCAGCAGTGGAGGCGCTGCCGGCCCCAGTAGGTCCCAACAGGGGTGGGATGGTGGAGCAGGTGAGCGGGCGGCACCAGGCCAAGGCAGGTGCGCATGGGGGCCAATTGCCCCACAGACGGTGACCAGTGGCAGGAGGCAGGGTCGCCACCTGGCGCCCAGGCACTGAGGGAGCTGGACGGGGGCCCAATTGCCCCACTGATCACCCCACAGACGGCGACCAACATCCATTACAGAGAAAGGGCAAATAACAATATTAAAATATTTCTTCTAATTATTTTCCTTTCAATGTGCACAAATCCGTGCACCAGACCACTAGTATATTCATAATTGTCCTGTATGTCTATCAGATATGTTTAGTTGGATCCAATCCCTTATTTAAAAAAATCATGAGCCCTAGCCTGTTTGGCTCAGTGGATAGAGCGTCAACCTGCGAACTGAACTCCCAGGTTCAATTCCGGTCAAGGGCACATGCCCAGGATGTGGGCTGGATCCCCAGTGGGGGACTTGCAGGAGGCAGCAGATCCAGGATTCTCTCTCATCATGGATGTTTCTATCTCTCTCTCCCTCTTCCTTCCTCTGTGAAATCAATAAAAACATATATTAAAAAAAATCATGAGTAGTAATAAGCCATCTGTTGTGACAAAGATATTTCTGTATTATGAGATACTAAATTAAAATGTCATCAGTTTTATCATTCATATTCATTGAAATACTACTAGCAAGATGGTAAAGTTTTAGAACTGTCTATGTTGTAACTGTAGTTACCCCTATATTTTTATTTCTGATGATAGAACCCATCCTTTAACATGCTACAGGTGAGTCAAACAAATAGCACTGGTTTTATGTTCAGGAAAGGATCATCTTCATTAGTATTAGCACTGAGAAGTACCAGAATAAATGTACAGGAACAATCCACAGCTGTGCCTTTTTTATACTATGCTAGAGGCCCGGTGCATGAAAATTCATGCACTGGAGTGGGGGGGGTCCCTCAGTCCGGCCTGCCCCCTCTCACAGTCCGGGAGCCCTCAGGGGCGGAGGCAACCCGGCATTCAGGGGAAGGTGACGCCCCATCACACCTCTGCTGCTGCCACTGCCGGCAGTGCAAGCCTCAGGCGTCCCTGGGGCTGAGGGGACTGGGCGCCGCCATCTTTGAGGGAGGGGCAGTCAATTAGCATATTCTCTCATTGGCTGTGGGTGCCACCATATATGCAATGGCATGAGGGTCAATTAGCATATTCCCTCTTTATTAGATAGGATAAAGCATTATTTGGTAATACACATCTAAATATCACATATAATGTACATAACTACTTATGCGGAGGAAAATTACCTTTATGCCACTCAAATTTAGGTAGGTGGAAAATAATTTATTCTGTTATATATCATTAGCTGGAATTTTTTATTAAAATTTTATTTTATAAATGTAACATTCAATGTGGTAGAGGCAATTTGGTACAATTTAGCATCCTTTTTGACAAAATTTTTTTAGAGACTTTTCTCTCATCATTAGTAATAATGATTACATATGAACTGTAGCAGACTGCAACCTTATATAAGGTATCAAATGCTTTATTTCCAAAGCTTTATATTCAGTCTTGAAGAAGTTGTAGATTTAATTTTTGCAGAAGTTTATCAGTCCTGTTGTTAAAAAAGCTACAGATATGTTTTTATTCAATTGTGGTAACATTCATTATGAAAAACTGAGACTTTCTCAGAGATTATGTAAACAGCAAATATTAAAAGATCATTGTATTATCAAAATTGATTTTGATAATGGATCATCAGTGGTACATACTGTGGCCTCTTTCAAATAGGAAGACAGGGTCATTGCTGCCTTCATAGTATTTTGAGATTTTATAGCAATTATCTTCTCTGAAAGCCTCACATTTACTTTTGCTTTAGAGAGCTGGCTAAATGGAGTAAAAAATGCAGTTTTTTGTCTTGTACAGATAACATTGATCATTTTTTTTAGATAACACATATAGAGAATTTTAATTTTAGCTTTTTCTCAGATTTTAAAAAATTGCTTAGTCCGGCCAGTGTTGTGCAGTGTTTGAGCATTGACTCATGAACCAGGAAGTCTCGGTTAGATTCCTGGCCAGCGCACATGCTCGAGTTGCAGGCTCGATCCCCAGTAGAAGGCGTACAGAAACATCTCTCTCATCATTGATGTTTCTATCCCTTTCTTCCTCTCCCTTCCTCTCTCTGAAATCAATAAAAACATATTTAAAATATAAATAAAATAACTTAATTTTTTTAAAGCTTGAGACATTTTCTTTATTATTATTATTATTATTGATTTTTCGAGAGAGAGGAAGGCAGAGGGAGAGATATAAACATCAATGATGAGAGAGAATCATTGATCAGCTGCCTCCTGCACAGCCCCCACAGGGGATTAAGCCTACAACCCGGTCATGTGCCCTGACCAGGAATTGAACCGTGACCTGGTTCATAAGTCAATGTTCAACCACTGAGCCACTTTTAAACCATAAAAGTCTCTAAAGTCATGAGGAAGATTTTCTCTATGAGGGACTAATTTCACTCCCACCACCTGCTAATGATATCTTTTAAAATATAAAATTAAGACTAAAAAGAGTTTAGAAACATAACATAGTAATAAACTACAGTTGTAAATGAAACATTTTGTTCTGTGTAATTTGTATTGCCTGTATTCTTTAGGGGCATGACCCTCTAAATAATATTTTAGTTCTTATTTACTAAATTCTATTATGTCTTTCATATTGATTGTTGTTTACATTTACAGGATGCCCTAAGTGTGATGTAGTATCTTCTCTGTTGTATAAATGTGGAATTAAAAGTGCTACCTGTTATGCTATATTGCAGTAAAACTTTATAACAATGGGCAGCTGGCCCACAGCCATGTTTGCCTACCTCTGATTTCATTCATGGTTATGGTTTTCATCACATTTTAGAAGGATTCAGACAGTAGAGTGCCTGTGTTTATATTTGCTCCCTCTAAAGTTACAATAAACTCCAAGTTCAAAAAAGGTCTGATTTTAATGTCAAATAGAATGGAAGAGGAGATGATAGTTAACAAGATATGCTAGCCAAACTTCAATGCTGAGATTTGGATGGTTGATGCTAACTGATTTAACCAAGAAGACAGTTTTATTTTGATGCATGGGGACAGCATACGCAAGAAACACCATACCCCAAAGTCTCTGTTCTGTTTGCAGTCAATCCTCATTCCCATCCCCAGTCCTAAGCAACCACTAATTTTCTTTCTGTCTGTATATCTTTCTGGATACTTCATATAGAAGACTCACAGAACATACAGGCTTTGCTTCTGGCTTCTTTCACTTAGCGTATGATTTGAGGTTCATCCATATTGTAGCAGGTATCAATTTATATTACTGAATATCAATATACTTTTATAGGTATTTTAAAATATATTTTTGTTGTTTGGTCTTTCTTGTTTTAAATACAACCGTTGTGAAGATAGAGGCCATTGTTCGTCTTTGTAATTCCAGAATAGCAGGTATGAACTGTGAACTCATGGAATACCTATCTGTGTACCTGCCTACCTGTTTATTTAATCTCTGTCACTATATATATCAAAAGATCATAGTGATCATGCTTTCTTCTCTTTCCTGCTTCCCATGATCGTTTGCAATATAGTAAGAACACAAAGGGAAATTATATAACCTCACACCAGCCTATTAAAGGGAGTGCTGTTATATGTGTTGTATGATGCTTCCTTGTGAAGCAAAGATTGTAGCATATAGTATGACCTTGATTCGGTGATTTGCCTCCATAGCTTTTACTTGAATGTTTCAATAATAAACTTTTATAGGAGCGGAAAGCTGTAGCTGAAATACTGATTAGTTTAAAAGCAGTGCTGTAGTAGATAAAATGGTGAAGCAGCTTTCAGGAGGTATTTTTTGTGGGGGTTACATAATTTATCCATGGATGATTCTTTGATTAAGGACCTTGCTTCGATGTGCTACCAGCTTTTTCTTATAATAAAACTCCAAGGCAATTTACACTTAATCATACTGAGGAAATTAGGTGAATTGCTCAAGATTACAGAGCATAGGGCTTAATTTATCATTTGTTATCTTTTTCATATTTATATCAAGTTACATGAAGAATTACCTAAGTGTTAAAGTAGTTAAGTACTTTGTCAACAGTTTAAATATAAAGTCTTACTAGTGCGTTAAAGTAGTTAAAGTCATTACTGTAAAGGTTGAATATCTTTTTAGATATTATGTACTCTTTCGGTAAAGTAAGAATACTGACTTATTAAAGGTCTTTTCACTGTTTCTACCTTCCCTGCTGATGTTAGCTGTCGAGAAAATAGACTATAAATTTACCTTTTTAGCCTTTTAACTTTATTATTAAAATGTGAAATTATAAGTTGTCCCTAATTCCACAAGTTAATTTTTTCTTCATTTGGGGATAAGTAAAAAGTGGATCATGGGAAATGAATATTTTCATTTTATATAGTCATTATTTAAGGATTATATATGTATGTATGTTTGTTTGTATTTGGTAGAACACTGCTTAGAGTAGTTAAATAAGGCTTATTTTAGTAGTTTGCCTTTTTAGTATTTGTTAAAATGGGTAGCTTGTGCCCAGCCAGTGTGACTCAGTTGGTTGAGTGTTGTCCCATGCATTAAGAGGTCACTGGTTCCATTCCTGGTTAGAGGAAGCTGATGGATGTTTCTTTCTCATCGATGTTTCTATCTTTCTCTCCCTCTCCATTCTTCTAAAATCAGTAAAAAAAAATGTTAAAAAATAAATGGGTACCTTGTTTTCCAGTCATGTCATGGATCTATTGCCAATTGAAAGAACTCAGAAGCTTTTAATATTTCATTTAGATTGCTACTTGTCTTTATTGTTCTTGAGTGCAAATTATTAGACAGATTTTTAAAATGACACTTGTTTTTTCAATCTGAAATTGTGTTTGCTTCTCAAAAGTATATTCATATTTAAATACAAAATCAAAGTATATAAAATGGTATTTTATTTTGAACTCATTATTTTATAGATAATCTTAGGAGATTCTAAGAGCATCCTTATGTTTAGTTATGCCATCCCAGAGAACTTGCTCTGCAGCAGGTAGATGATATTTTGAAGAATACTGCTATTGTAAGTCTTTTTGGGCCTGCAGCTCAGTAATTGAATAGAACTGGTGTGTGTGTGTGTGTGTGTGTGTGTGTGTGTGTGTGTGTGTGTGTGTGTGTACCTGCAAGGAAAGTACTTATAAAGTTAGATTTAATATACTGACAAAGTTTGCATGAAGAAACAGATGACTAAGATCCCATATGTATCTTAGATTTTAAAAAGGTATGGTAGAGCCATATGACAATGGCAAGCAAGAATGTGTTTTATTCTATTTAAAAAGTAAAATTTATCTTTTTTTGTGATCTTTGGAAGACTGCTAAGATAGAAAAAATGTCATGAAGTAACCTCCTTACATTTGTTAGAACTACTAAAAAAGGAAACTCAGAAACTAAACTTGGGTTCAGTGGATCCTGCTAGTATAACAAGAGATGAACATATAATATCTTTTTTCTTTTTAAATTAAGGTTTTGTTTTTATTTTTAAGTTCTTTTTTTTAATGTTCTCTGAATTGTTTCCCCCTCATAGAATTAGGTTTCTCTTTTTCCATCCTCCCTCTTTACCTTTCTTCCCCCTTTTCCCTCCCACTTCCTTCCCCTTTCTCTCCAATCTTGCTTTCATCTACTCATCTCTCTCCTCTCCCCCTCCCAGTGTCCTCCCTCCTCCCCTTCCTTCTTTTCCTCCTTCCCTTCCTTCTTTCCTTCCTTCCCTCTTTCACTTCCTTCCCTCTTTCCCTTCCTTCCATCCTTTATTTCTCCTCCTTTTCTTCCTTCCCTCCTTTTCTTCCTTCCCTTCCATCCTTTCCTTCCTTCCTCCCTTCCTTGGTCCCTCCCTCCCTCCCTTTTCCCATCCTTTCTCCTTCCCTCCCTCTCTCTGTCCCTCATCCCTCCTTCTTTCCTTCCTTCCAGTTTTGTTTCTGGTAATTGCTGTCTTTACATTTTAAATATGGTTTAGATATGGTTTATTTGGGGTTGTAGACATTTGTATATGAGTAGTTTATTCTTCTAACTTGACCTCTTCCTTGCATGGGAAACCTGATGGAAACAGTACTTGCATAGGGTATTGATTGAAAGTGTCAGCCTAGGGTGGTGGGAAGAGAGCTGTCTATCAAGCTGTGAGCCCACTAATATGACTTGACCTAAGTCAAGCCTCTGTCCATCACCATTATCCCCCTCCTTTCCCTCCCTCCCCCTTCCCCTTGGCAGTCACCACACTGTTGTCCGTGCCCATGGGTTCTCTTTTTTTGCTCAATCTCTCCACCCCTCTGGACCCCACTCTCCAGCAGCTGTCAGCCAGCTCTCTCTGAGTCTGTCACCGATTTTGCTTGGTAGTTAATTTTGTTCATTAGATTCCACATTTGAGCGAAATCATCTGGTATTTGTCTTTCTCTGACTGGCTTGTTTCACTTATCATAATGCTATCTAGGTCCATCCATGCTGTCACAAAAGGTACGATTTCCTTTTTTATGGTGGAGTAGTACTCCATTGTGTATCCATTCATCTACTGATGGGCATTTGGGCTGCTTCCAAATAATCTTGGTATTGTAAATAAAGCTGCAGTGAACATAGGGGTGCATATATTCTTTCGATTACATGTTTTGGAATAAATTCCCAGAAGTTGAATGGTTGGATCATAAGGCAGTTCCATACTTAATTTTTTGAGGAACCTCCGTACTGCTTTCCACAATGGCTATACCAATCTGCATCCCTCCAACAGTGCTCAAGGGTTCCCTTTTCTCCACATCCTCGCCAGAACTTGTTGCTTGTTGTTTTATTGATGATAGCCAGTCCATTTTATCTCGTAACCATTTATTTTTCCATCTTCCTGAAATATATTGATATCCTTTGCCCTTTATTTTTCTCTTCCCTTCTCATCTCCCTTTCCTTCACTGTTCTGGGTTATTCTTTTCTATTTCTATGTTGTAATTACTAGGCTCTTGGGAAGGACAGGAGTCAACATATCATCATATTTTTTGAGTGTGAAGTTTTCTGAAACTTGTATATTAAAAGGCAGCATATGTTGCAGTTTTACTACTACCAGTATTTGAAGTTATTGTTTCCATTGCAACTCAACTATCATTAATTGTTTTCCAGTTTAAATTATATAAAATATTTCTTGCTCTAGTGTGTAAACTCATAGACGTAACTAGTAAATCATTTCCCATTTGAGTTTGTTGTTACAGTTTTCAATGTATTGTTCGTTCATTGGAATTACATATTTACTGTGAAATCCTAGGTTTTATAACCAGTTCTCATGGGACCTTTATGCAGTATATTGACTCATCTTCACATTTGTTGCAAACATCTTTTAGTCTTTTGCTTTCACTCTAAAGTTGTTTATTTTATAAATTAGATTATATTGAATGTTTTTGTCTGCATCATAATTTTAAATTTTGAGAAGTTATTGCCACTCCAGATAAGTTATATTAAGTAAGATTTTAATTTTTGTTTTACCAAATTTAGTTTTTATGAAACACTTGTAAAATAATTTTGTAGTGCATTTTGAGAGCAAAGAAAATGCCTCTGTGTTTTTATCTTATTCTTAGAATACTTAAAGACATAAAGTTTGTTTGATATTTTGAACTGAACATATTCTCATTTTGTCAAATCTTTAGAAATACTAAAAGTCAGGTAAAATATTCTTGTGTTTTCCAGATTATTGTTCGGTTGTTACAATTGTGGACCAGACAAATGTAAAGTTAACCTGCCTACTCTTTAGTGGAAATTATGAAAGCCTTCCAATAATTTATAAAAATGGAGATATCGTTCGCTTTCACAGGCTGAAGGTATAATTCATATTGTCTAGAACTTATATTTTTTAAGAGAGCACTGTATTCACTAAAACTAGTTAGCACTAATTACGTGGTTGCTTTGTTAGAACATGACATCAAGCATTTTCAAGAGATTAGAAGAAGTGTAAGTCATATCAGACTTCAAATAATGTATATTAGGAGACCTCTTTATTTGAGCAAGCTGCCTGCCTTTCTTCCATGCAAATGTGTTAGATGCCGTGATTCAGACTGGTTGTGCTCTTTCTTCTTGCTTCTAAATATAGATCGATGTTTTAAATGTTTTCCATGCAGAGTTTAATACAGAACTTTGTTTTAAAAAAAGTCTTGGGTCAACAACAACAAAAGTGTACAAAAGATTGGGAGATTGTATTATTCTTTCCTGATTGTTGTATTAATTCTGGTACAATGAAAGGATTGAGAAATTAAGTATAAAATCAAAACAAGTTGATCAAATGTGTTAAAATGTGAACAGATACTTAGATAATTTTAAAGTTCTGCTAGCAGTTAAATAATTAAATATAAGAAAACTTTTGATATAAAAATAAAGCTATTAAGTAGTATGTGTGTTTTTTAAATCAGTTTTTCAGTATTTTAATATTTTCAGTCCCTTAAGTTGTAAGCATTTTAGTCCCTCATCTTTTCCTCCTGTTACATGGGTTTCCATGCAACCCGTTCATTATCTTGGTTGTCTTTTTTTTCTAACTACTTCAGTTTGTTTGTGTCCCTCATGGTCAACATGATACCTACAAATGAGCACAATATTCCAGGTGTGTTCTGTTCTGTGGTGGGAATTACATCTCTTGATCTATCAGTACTTTTTCCCTAAGAATAGATGAATAGTAGAGAATATGTTCATAAAGATAAAAATAGAAATATAATAGCACTATATTACAGTTTTATTCAAATTTCACAAAGTAGGTTATTTTTCACACACTGTGGGGTCCTGTAATATTCATATTCATACAGCACACCCTCCACTTCTAACGTTTCTAGTTTCTCTTCTGTTGTTGAATTGAAGTAGAATATACATTTCCCGGTTCATATTCATAGTGTAAGCATATTCATAGAACTAGCACTCTAGAAACTTCCTTCATATCCCCACCCAAGGTTGTCATTAACTTTCTCCACCTTCAGTAGTAAATAGTCTTGTAACTTTTAACAACATGTTTACTTTCATCTGGGTTTGTTTTTTTATATAAAGAGGATAGATTATAGTTTTTTGCTTTTTATTTAATGTATGGTTTATGTTTGTTTTATTCAACCATATTACTGGGTATAGTTTTATTTTGCTCATTTTCATTGCCAAATGGTATTCCATTGTGTGACTACATCAACATTGTTGATTTGATTCTTGGGATCCTCTTCTCTAATGGCCGCCAAACTTTGACCTCACAGACCTCCAGTGGTCCGCGGAACACCAGTTGGCGACCACTGCTCTATTCTACTGTTGAATCCTTTAAATTATTCTTTATTTCAGTTAGTGTGTGCTTGATTTCTGACTGGTCCTTTTTCATGTGTTTGACTTTCTCACTAAGATACTTGAAAGTCTCATGAAGGTCTTATAACCATGGTTTTGAACTCTGTATCCAAAAGTTTGCTTGCTTCCATTTCTTTCATTTGAGACATGTTTCTTTGTCTCCCAATTTTGGCTGCTTCCTTGTGTTTATTCCTATGTATTTGGTAGAGCTGCTATGTATTTTGGAATTGGTAGAGTGGCTTTGTGTAGTAGGTGTCCTGTAAGGTCCAGTGGCTCAGCCTCCTCAGTCACCTGAGCGGGGCACTCTAGGGACATCCCTCTGTGGGCTGTGTATACAGTCTTAAAGTTGAGCCTTGATTGCTGTTGGCATCAGTGGTAGGAATTACCTCTAGGCTAATTGGCTGTGAGGACCAGCTCTGACTGCAGTGGGAGAGCTAATGTGCAGGAAACACCCCTATGGAGCAGGACTTGCTTCAGTGGGGCTTTGATGCTCGCTGAGTCTGCCCTTTGAGTGTGTTCCTTACGGATGCGTAGAGTTGTAATCTGCTATGGTTTGAAGCTGTCCACCAGCTGTACTAGCTCTAGGGCCTCCAGGGAGGTGCAAATTCAGCCATTGCCTGGGGCCACCTTGCAGGAGGTATTTGTATTGGGCTTGGAGGTGCCCAGGCGAGGCCCAGCTGTGAAGTAAGGCAGGCTGGTGCTTGTGTCAGGTCTTGGGCCTTTTATTGATAGGTTTGAGGCATGCTGACCCAGCTGCAGCTTGTTTTAGAGATTTTAGCAAAGTCTGAAGCCTGATCAAGGACAGGCCATTCATATGCAAAAGCTACTACAAATAGGTTCGGTGGGCTGCAAATTGGATGGAGTGGGATCTCAGGGAACCGCCAGGGCGGAGCAAACAGCTATGGCTGCCAGTCAGCCCTGTAACTGGGGAGGTCCCAGGACAGAAACAATGACCCCTGTGAGCACCTCCCTCTGGGAAAAAGCCTCCTGAGTTCCTGCCCTAATACCAGACAGTCCAGTTCTTCCTTGTGTGTGTCAGGATCCCCCAGAGCAGCGGTTGCCAACCGGTGGTCCGAGAACCACTGGTGATCCGTGAGGTCCAAAAGGTTGGCGACCGCTGCCCCAGAGTCTCACCCTACCACTGGAGCTCAGAGGAAGCTGGACCTTGTAAGTTCAGTTTGTGAGCCGGCCCTTTAAAAGGAACACCTGGGTCACGAGCAGCCTCCATGTCACTGAGCCCCAGTCTCCACTGATTTTTACAGCCCATAGTTACAGATACTTCTTTTCCCAGCTCTGGGACCCTGGGCTGGGGTTCTGGTGTGGGGCTGGGACCCCTTGCTCCTCACACAGGGCCTCCATAGGGACGATCTCCCTCTGGATTAAAAAAGTGGCACACATGCGTGCCAGTTCAGCCGTTCCACACCTTCGCCTCTCCTACCAGTCTCAGTGTGCTTTCTTCTTTACTTCCCTAGTTGTAGGGCTTCAGTTCAGCCAGCCTTCAGGTGGTTCTGAATAATGGTTGTTCAGTATTTTGATGGGAGGCAGCGAATACAGGCGGTTACCTCCACCGCCATCTTGGTTCTTTTACTCAGATGTTAGATTTTAAACCAAGACTTTAAAAGAGTTATAAATATTTTCAAAGAAATAAGCAAAATATATTCAGTAAATCACATTTGGTTAATGCAAAATAAGAAATTTCTGTAGGAAAATGGAAACTGAAAAAGAACCTAATAAATTGAGTAACTGAAAGGAGCAGCAAATGAAATGAAATGAAAATTTTACTGGATGGGCTAAACAGCAGTTACAAGAGGATTGGTCAATTGAAATTATGTGATCTGAAGAATAAGGATTAAAGAAAAATTGACAGGCCTTTAGGGATCTGTAGAATAATATCATACAGTAGAACATGACATTTGAGACAAAGGAGAAGAGACTGGGAATAGGAAAAATATAGAAATAAGGAACCAGAATTTTTTCCAAATTTGATGAAAACATTGACTTACAGATCCAAGAAATTCAGTACACTTTAGGCATGATGCACAAGGAAAAGCACATCTAAACAAATCATGGTGACATTGAAAAAGATAAAGAAAAAATCTTGAAATCAGCTGGTAGAGAAATGATATATTTCATATTGGGCGACAGTGATACCAGTCATCTTTGATTACTTACTGGAAATAATGACATCTGAAGAACAAAGTAAGGGTACATTTTAAGTTATAATAAAAAACGAATTTACCCAGATTTTTTTATATAGAGAAAATATCCTTCACAAAAAAAGGTAAAGACATTTTTATATAAATGAAATTGAGAGGACCCATAGCTAGCATATCTTCACTATAAGAAAGTATTCAGGGCAAAGGAGAATATTATCAACCAGAAACTGGATCAATAAAAAATGACCAAAAAATAAAAACGAAAGAAATGGTTAATGAACAAATATGAAAGACAGTGTTTTGTATTTCTATAATTTAACTAAAATACATATGGCTATTTAAAAGAAAAACTTATTTTGGAAGGTGAAGTGTGTAAAATATGTAGAAAAACATGACACCAACAGCACAAAGGATGGTGGGATGGTTAAATGGAATTATACCACTGAAAGATTGTTACCTTTAGAGGTTATTATATTTTCAGTAAAAAGTGTAAAATGGGATAGGAAAAGTGTGAAATGGAAAAGAGGAAGTGTTCCAAATTGACTGAGATGTTAGGATTCATCCATAGCTAAGGAGCAGTCAGTGGGACACATACTAGTATTGTTCAAAATAAGACAGGAAAGAAACAATGGAAAAAAATTATAAAAGGAAAATATGATAGTAGACTTAAATATAACCATTTCAATAGCTACTACATTTTCTTGTGAAAGAAAAAAATTGATAAAAAGCAAGAACCAAATATATCGCTACAAGAAATAAATATGCAAATAAGTTGGAAGCAGAGCTGTAGAAAAGATATGATATACCAAGCAAATAGTAAGTAAAAAATAAAATAACTATTAATATCAGATAGAGTTTACAAAAGATCAAATGGGGGAACATTTCACAAGGTCACCAAAGGATTTCTTTGTAAATACGTAACTATCATAAATGCATGTGCATCTAATAAATGAACTTCAAAATTTAGAAAGCTAAAGTGGCATATCTCAGCTCTCTCAGGCTGATGAAACCTTAGCCTCAGTTGCATTTAATTCACTTCAAACTTACACTTTAGGTGTTCTAGTTTTCTCTAGTATGCCCATAAATAACTGGCACTTGTTGTTTTTCCTTCTGTAAATTCTGTCTTAAACCTAATAAATGTAAAAGAACAAGCTTGGTAGGATTAGGGAGTCTAACACCTAGTTCTGTAGAAAATAGAAATAGATTTTGCATAGTGTTTTACAGTTTACATGGTGTTTGTGGATCTTGAAAGAACCCAGTTGATTTTATAATTCATACACTAATTAAGTGAAATACTAAATAATTATGTCTTCTCTTAACTATACTGGCAAGATTTTATAATCTTTCTGATTTTCAGCCCCCAGGTTTTGCATCAGTAAGCAGTTTTATGTGTTTCTGTTTTGTTTTCTACTTTGTCCCCTTTTCTTAGATCCAAGTATATAAAAATGAGACCCAAGGTATCACCAGCTCTGGCTTTGCGTCTTTGACATTTGAGGGAACTTTGGGAGCTCCTGTTATACCTCGTACTTCGAGCAAGTATTTTAACTTCACAACTGAGGACCACAAAATGGTAGAAACCTTACGTGCGTGGGCATCTACTCATATTTCACCTTCTTCAACGTTAGTAAAATTGTGTGATGTTCAGTCGATGCAGTATTTTGACCTGACTTGTCAGCTCTTGGGCAAAGCTGAAGTGGACGGAGCATCGTTTCTTCTAAAGGTAGATATTTTTAAATACTTGCAATTATTAATTAGTACCACCTACATGTCTTTAAGGTACTTATGTTTTAGCATTCTGATGGAATAATTATATATACTGCGTGTTATATGATGAACTTAAACTCCAACTTACCATGTTTGTTAAGCCTGGAAATTCATGCAACTCTACTCCTGCATTTCTCTTCTTTATCCTATATGTCTAGAGAAAAATGGTATTATCCGATCTACATTTTAAATGTAGTATACTTTATGTTATATTTATTTAGTACTAATAAAATATGTATTTTTATTTTAGTACTATGTATTTTTAGTACTAACAAAATACATATTTCTTATTTTAGTACTAAAAATATTACTATTTTTCAGTTGCAATTCTACATACGCATATTTTTGCTTCCTTAGCCTTCTCATTTACTTTCGTGGCCCTTTGATATCACATTCTCATCTGATGTCATTTCTCTGCCTGCTTCCTGGGTAGATCACAGTTTTGAAGTGTTCGTTGCTCTTATGTTTTTAAATCAACAGAATTTAAAAAGTGACATAAGTCCCATCTAGTCTTTGTTTACCACTCTCCCTGTTAAATCATGAGTAGCTTTTGAAGAAGGCAATTGTCTGATATTATCCTCCCCTACGCATCCTAGGCAGGATGCATTTAAACGAGCACTGCTTCAGCCTTGCTCCTGTGGGTTTCCTTAACTTCTGGCCCTTTGGAACAGTAGGGGAGGAAATGGATTGCAGTAGTTCTTGGACCAATATTGGTTTAGCATTATTATCATTTATATCTTGCCCATATTAAGGAATGGTGAAGATATAAATCTTTGAATAAAATGTGAAGTTTTTGAAGTTGATAATAGCACATGTTTATATACACATTAAATACTCTGAATATGTAAATGCATGTTATTGGCTTAGTATTCACAAGCAAAATCATTTATGTGTGCCTAGTACTCACAAGATATGAAAACCCCAAAAATAAACTAAAAAGCTATTTGGATTAATAAAAATTATTCAGTGAGCTAAGTTGTTTAAAACATTAGTAAAATATAGCCCTTCTACATATCAGTAATAAATAGAACAGATAATTGAACAAAAATCTTTCAGCCCTGCCAGTGTGGCTCAGTGGTTCAGTGTGGACCTATGAATCAGGAGGTCGCATTTCCATTCAGGTCAGGGCACATGCCAAAGTTGCGGCTGCCTGGATCCCCAGTAAGTGGCATGCAAGAGGCAGCCAATTGATCCTCTTTTTCATTGATATTTCTATCTCTCCCTCTCTCTTCCTTTCTGAAATCAATAAAAATATATTTTTAAAAAATATCTTTCAAAGTCTCAATGACTGTAAAATAAGAAAGTTCATGTAAGAAATATCTGAATTTCTGTGAGGAAAACTTTACTAAGGAGCTTTAAAGAAAACTCGAACTAATAAAAGATTTTTTATTTTTTTACTAAAGTGTTTTTAAATAAAGTAAGATTTTAATTAAAATCACGTTGTTTTTTTAAATTGATTATAATTCTGAAGTTTATTAGAAACAAATGACTAGAAACAAAACAAGAAAGGCTTGCCAAAGAAAGCTAAATGGGAGCTATCAGATATCCTATCTAATAAAGCGGGAATATGCTAATTGACCTTCACACCGTCGCAAAGATGGTGGCACCCACAGCCAATGAGGAGGGAATATGCTAATTGACTGCCCCACCCTCAAAGATGGTGATGCCCACAGCCACAAAATGGCCAGCAGGGGAGGGCAGTTGGGGGTGATCAGGCCAGCAGGGGAGGGCAGTTGGGGGCATCCAGGCCAGCAGGAGAAGACAGTTGGGGGTGACTGGGCTGGCAGGGGAGCGGTTAGGGGGTGATCAGGCTGGCAGGCAGAAGCAGTTAGGGGCAATCAGGCAGGCAAGCGGCTGGGAGAGGGATGTCCGACTGCCGGTGGGATCGGGCCTAAACCGGCAGTCGAACATCCCCCGAGGGGTCCCAGATTGGAGAGGGGTCCCAGATTGGAGAGGGTGCAGGCTGGGCTAAGGGACACCTCCTACCAGTGCACTGATTTTTTGCACCAGGACTCCAGTTTAAACATATTATGCAGTTATAATAAAGTTATAGTAAGACTGATCAATGGAAAGGATTAAAAACCTCAGGAATGTTCTTATACCTATGGTAATTCAAAATGTGATAAAAATAACATTTCAAATTGGTAAAGAAAGGTTGTTAAAAGTCTGATTTCTAGGCAATTAAAACTAGAGCATAAAAGCAATATAGCAACACTGTACCCTCTCAGTTCCTCCCTCAAAAGGCTTGTGGATTGGTCTGTAAAGACATTTTAAAATCACAGAAACAGTCTGCACAAAATGGAAGAACAAATTCCAAATGGAGAGTCATGTTTGTGCCATGTGATGTTACTGCTCCCAAAGTAATTGTTCTGCGTCTTTGAACTATTTAGGGAATAGAATGAGTGACACAAACCCATAATTGTTTATTAGAAACTTGCACTGTCACCAGCATTATTCAGTCCTTCCTCTGTAACCTGACCCTGGCAGACATCTTCTGTTTAGCAATGTGGTGTTTTTTATTCAAGTCAAACTCCTGACAGGCAGAGGCATTCCCACTTGATACCCTTTTACAGCACAGCCCGGGCTGGCTCTTGTCTTAAGGATGGGGCAGTCCATGCTGGCCCTGTGCCCTGGTCCCATCTTTATCTGAGTGCACCTGACATAGCAATCAGTATCCCTATTCCTTTTCCAGCACTATGACGTTCATGCATTTGTATTGGTAACATCTAACATAAGCAAAATAGGCCTGTCTGTACATTTAAAGGCCTTTTCCAAATTGAAACAACTGAACAAACATTCCTAAAAGCTAGGAATTTATACTTAAGAATATTAGCAGAGGCACTCATAAAAGTTTATATATGTAAGATAATTATTGCTAAGTTATTTGAAATAGTATGAAAGGTTTGAAACAACTCAAATGACCAATAAAGTGGTTATTGGTTTAATAAATTTGTGCATCCATACCAGGAAATAATGTGAAGCCATTGAAAATTGTATTTTAGAAGAATATTTAAATTTCCTGATAAATTGCTCAAGAATATACTAAGAAATGAAAAACAGAATATAATGCCAGTTTGTTAAAAAATAATAATAATACAAGATATAAGTACATAGGAGAAAAAAGTATAAAGTTCAACACTACGTTTTTTCTATGGTCATAGTAGTTTGAACTTTTTTCTGTACATCGTCATATGTAGTCCTTTTACAGTCAGAAAAGGTTATACATCATATTTAAAGTTTAGCAGATATTTGGGAGGATACATTTAATTACTTTTAAGTTATATTGCCAGCAAGTAAAACTCTTTTAGCCTCCACAGTTTTACAAAAAGGTCATTAAACTTTGCTCTGCCCTCTCCCGGCAGGTATGGGACGGCACCAGGACCCCCTTTCCGTCCTGGAGAGTCTGCGTACAAGACCTTGTTTTTCATGGTGATTTAAGTCACATCCGGCGGCTGCAGAACCTGGCAGTAGACATTTTAGTCTATGATAACCATGTTCAAGTGGCAAAATCTCTGAAGGTGATGTTGAATAGCGAGCCGTTTGCTTTTTTTTAAATTTTTATAAATGGGGGTAAATCACATTCATAGATGATATTTGAGGTCTAGAAATTAACTCCAAATTTATATTCTTTAATATTTAATTTGTAAAATGAATGTTCATAATAATTATTAGTGTACTAAAATATAATGGCTTGAACAGTTTTTTCAAAGTAATGTTTCCTGAATATCTTAAATCTATATGCAATGTTACTATAAAAATAGTAAAGAAAAATTTTGTTGTGTATGACGTACTGCTTTAAAATGACAGGATTTATAAAATATTTGTATATTTAAACATTGAGCTTTGCTAATTTTCTGTTTGATAAAATCTAGTCTTTGTACTTACTAGTTTAAGAAATTATTAATCTACCTCTACCATCATAAATTGTGTGTCTATTTGTGTGTGTGTACTGTACAGTCTATTAGAATTTGCTCAGTGTTTTGGGGATATAGCTTTAGGAAAGCATATACTGTTTAGATAAGGTAGTTTTTGCTTAGTAATAATATATTTTAAGGAATATTTTTCTTTATTTTTTTATATCTGATTTGCAAGTGTTCTTTCCAGCAAAGAATAGCATCATTAATAATAACAGTAATAATAGTAACATTTGTTAAGCATGGGAGATTGGTTTACTATCTCATTTATTTATTTACTAGAGGCTCGGTGTACCAGATTCATGCACTGGGGCGGGAGGGGGTCCCTCAGCCTGGCCTGCACCCTCTCGCAGTCCAGGACCCCTGGGGGGATGTCTGCCTGCCGGCTTAGGCCTGGGGATCAGCCTATGCTGGCAGGCGGACATCCCTCTTGCAGTCTGGGGCTCTCGCAGTCCGGGACCCCCATCTGTATTTAGCTTTATCCTGTTCAGTAGATAACTGTCATCATTTCCATTTTACAAATGAGAAAACGGACACACTCAGAGAGTAAGCCCAAGAATTCACAGCTACTTGTTGAAGCCAGTATTTGAATCTACACTGTCTGTTTCCAGAGCCAATCTCTTAACCAGTATAAAGAAATGATTTTCTTTATTGCAAATAGCTCCCATCCCACCTTTAGGGAGTTAGGTACACAGCTTACTTACAGAAAGTTATACAACCAACTTATAGGAAGAAAACTAAAAGTGAATTGCAATTTTTAGAACTGAATTTTAGTGCCCAGTTTTCCTTTGTAAATACATGTTTTTGGAGAAGGAAATATTTCCACTTGCACATTGTGTTACAAATAAAGCCCACTCAACCCAAGTCAATAAATTAGATTAAGTCAGGGTCCAGGATGGTGGTAACTACTGCACTTTCTTACTCCTTTATGCGTGTGTGTACATTCATGTTCTGACATATTTGAGAAAATTAACTGTTGGAGGTAGATCTTTAATGCTTTCCCCTCATTTTATCTACATTGATTCGTTTATTTTAACAAAAATGTAATGTTAAAGCTAGTGCTAAGATCTTCTAAAAATATAGATTTCTTTTATAAGTGAAAATGATTTACATTTTAGATCTGTTTTCAAATGCCCTTATCTTTCCCTATGCTGCTTCTACATGTCTTTCTGTTTCCCCTCACTTGTCCTGACTTTCTTATCCAAGTCCTGAGCAGCACCCAGCTCACTCAGTGCTTTCCATGTAGTAAGGATGAAAAAAATAGTATTTGCTGGTAAATGAGTGAATGAGTAAGTACTGTGAATTTTTTTTTCAGTTTTTCTCTCCCTTTTTGTCTGCTTCATCTCACCCACAAGAGGGTGCTGTGAGCACACAATTAAATATTGAGCTCTTAGTTTTTTTCTGAAGATAGGACATATGTATGTGCAGTGTAATAGAAAAATGAAGAGGATTTTTCTGTGTATAAGTAATATAACTGTAGTATTTTATTAATGTACACTAACATCACATTTTAATTTTTCTGAGACAACCTCTATATCAACCATTTCATATTAATTTAAGAAATCAAGACAGATGACATTGATACAAATGAATTCTTATCAACACTTGAGGATAACTATTTAAAATTCCATTTCTATACCGAAATACATGGAACACATTTTTACTGTTTAGGTACAGTAAGAAAAAAAAATTTTTTTAAATAAAGAGGACAGTTAAAGCAATTATAAAATAAATATAATTGACTTCTATTTATAACACATTTTTTACAGCATAAGTTGCCCATAACATTTTTCATATATCTTGTTTTTAAGTTATCTCATTGTCGGAGCATTTTACACAAACTGACAGTTTAAACCTTTTATCTGGAAGTTAAAGCAGTGTATATTCAATCCCCAGTCTTATCTTGACACAATTTAAAAATAATCATAAAACACGTAGTAACAATTTTGTTTAGCCTTCAGTGACTCAAGAGATATAATTTGGAGATGTATAGATCTTTAAAAATATTAAACCTAAAGTGAAATTCATGAGAGTTTATAAGGAATCTTTAAATTATTTCTAAAGGGATAGTGATTTCTTAATACCTGTACTTGCTCTGCTTTATTTTTAATGTTTCTGCATTGAAATGGGCTTTTGTAACAATTTTTAAAGTAGTTTTTATAATTGTTTGGTCTGACACCATCACTTGTATTTCTGGAATCTTATCACATTCCCGACAAAATTAAGTAATATTTGTCCATTATAATAGAGCATCTGGCATATTTCCTAGTATATTTAGTAAGCTTATAAAAATACAATGCTGCCTCCAGAAGGAATTTCTGGAAATAACAGTTTGTCATCTTTATGTAAATAAATTCTCTCTTGGTCTTTAAATTTTGTTTTATTTTGAAATACAATAATAGAGAAGATAGTATGATAAACATTGATATGCTTACCATTCATACTTAACATTTCTAAATGTTTTGACACACTTATTTTAGGTACTTTTAATTTTTTAGAACTAAAACTACATACTGAACCTTCTTTGTATCTCTGCTTATTCTATTTTTCCTCCTCAATATTCTCTTTCTACATATCCTAACATGTAGGCATGAATACCCATGTTTATTATACTTTTATATGCTTTTGTCTGAAAAATGTATATTGTATATGTATCATTCTGTAATTTGCTTTTTTCCTTTGACATTTTTAGGATTTATCTATGTTCATACATATGTCTGCATTAATACGAGACTGTCTTAATTGTTGTACCTTTATTTTAAAATGATATTCCATAATTCAAGGCCCCACTCGCAGTTGTCTTCAAAATTGACTTGTCTGTTCACTTTTATATACATTTTTCAGAGCAGCTTTTTACATTTCATGAAAGACATTGGGGATTTTAATCTACATTCCATTGATTTTTAAAGATGACTTAAGGGAAAATTATCTTTATAATGTAGAAGCTTTTTATTCATGAATATGCTGTCTTCCTCCTTGTGTTTCAGCCTTCTTTAAGTCCTTTGTGGGACTTATGTGTACTGTACTGATATATTATGTATATTAAAAAAAGAATCATCAATTATAATAAATGTTCAGAAAAGTCAGATAAAAGTAAATAGAAATAGACTGTTTTATATTTTGTTTCAGTATCTTACTTTGGATAGCATGAGGAAAATCAGTTCCTTTTTTTTTTTCTTTTTGTGTTTTCCTTCTCTGACCACCCTGTTCCACTGCCATGAAGTAGATGTTAGTGCAGTGATGGTGAACCTATGACACGCGTGTCAGAGGTGACACGCGAACTCATTTTTTTGGTTGATTTTTCTTTGTTAAATGGCATTTAAATATATGAAATAAATATCAAAAATATAAGTCTTTGTTTTACTGTGGTTGCAAATATCAAAAAATTTCTATATGTGACATGGCACCAGAGTTAAGTTAGGGTTTTTCAAAATGCTGACACGCCGAGCTCAAAAGGTTCGCCATCTTTGTGTTAGTGGAAGAGGTCAGAGAAGAAAAAACTAACTGCCTTGCCTCCTCCTCACAAAATCCATTATTGGATGGGAAAAAGACTCTTGTGAATGAAGGAGTAGCATCTGGGAGTGTGGGTTATCCCCCCCTTACTTTTTTCTCCCACTTCTCCCCTCCATCAAATCCAGAGGGTGGTGAGGAGAAATACATACAATGAACTGAGACAGCAATAAGCAGAGATGGGAGATTGGTTTACTATCTCATTTATTTATTTACTAGAGGCTCGGTGTACCAGATTCATGCACTGGGGCGGGAGGGGGTCCCTCAGCCTGGCCTGCACCCTCTCGCAGTCCAGGACCCCTGGGGGGATGTCTGCCTGCCGGCTTAGGCCTGGGGATCAGCCTATGCTGGCAGGCGGACATCCCTCTTGCAGTCTGGGGCTCTCGCAGTCCGGGACCCCTCGCTCCTTACCACCCGCCTGCAGCGGAGGTGGGAGAGGCTCCCGCCACCACTGCTGTGCTCACCAGCCCTGAGCCCAGCTTCTGGCTGAGCACATTCCCCCTGTGGGAGCGCACTGACCAGCAGGGGGCAGCTCCTGCGTTGAGCATCTGCCCCCTGGTGGTCAGTGCGCATCATAGCAACCAGTCGTTCGGTTGATTTGCATATTAGGCTTTTATTGTATAGGATTATTGATTTTGAGAGAGAGAAGTTGCCTCCCACAGGGGATCAAACCCGCAACCTAGGTATGTTCTCTGACTGGGAATGGAACCACAACCTTTTGGTGTATAGGATGGTAGTTCAACCAACCAAGCCACCTGGCCAGGGCTTCTTTTTTTTTATACTCCCCCTTATATAGCTTTGCTGTTGCATAGCATTTCACCACTGTTATTCAATTCTGAACTTGAAGTGAAAAAGAGAATTGTATTCCTGCAATCATCAGCAGTCAAGAGTGCTGTCTTATGCAAATAAATTAAATTTCCTATTTGGTAACTCCTTTTGTTTATAACTCTTTATAAAAATAAATATGATTTAAGTTATATAGTTTCTTCTTTTGGTGGGTGTCAATTTCTTTGACAAACAATCTCCATCTGCCTCATTTTAAGTCTTCTACATTAAAAGCATAGCAAACACTCTATAATTGAAGGTATTTTTAAGATTATGTTTAACAAAACTTAACCATAGAAATTAACTATAGACCATTTAGTTCCCAACTATAATTGGTTTAATCTAAAAGTTTTCATAGAACTTGTGGGATAAGGGATGTATTGTTCTGATATAGTAGCAGATTTTAAATTATTTTATAATATTCTTATAATGAGTGTTTTAGTGATCAGATTTAATTAAATCTTACATTAAATTAGTTAAAACAAGTTATTTTCAGGAACCTTAATCAAATAGGTTTATTAATCAAATAGAGTGCGTAGGCTTGATTTAGGTCATTTATCAATGCTATGACTCAATCTTTCATACTTCAATATCTCTGAAGTAGAAATGACTTATTTTTAACATATATATTTATGTTATATATGCTTATATATATATATATATATATATATATATATACACACACACACACACACACACACACACACACACACACACACATTTTGGGTTTGATATGGTGTCATTGGGGCTGATGTTCAGTACACAACCTACCAGTATAACATACCAGTATCTTTTCTGGTATATCATTGGCCTTTCTAAACTGCCCCTGGTGGTTGGTCTGTACCCCATATGGTTGTTAAATATTTTGGTTTTGTTTTTCTCCATTTTCTAAAAAAAAATAATCATCTCTTTTTAGGTTGGAAGCTTTCTTAGAATTTATAGCCTTCATACCAAACTTCAATCAGTGAATTCGGAGAACCAGGCTACATTGTTAGCTCTAGAGTTTCATCTCCATGGAGGTACCAGTTATGGTCGGGGAATCAGAGTCTTGCCAGAAAGCAACTCTGATGTGGATCAACTGAAAAAGTAGGCTTATTAGACATCTATTTAAAAATTGTAAATAAGGTATCAATTAAGCAGATTTTCAAGATAATACTGTTCTGGGATGGTAAGGGGGAATCTAAAAGGTTCCTTGTAATTGATCCTCATAGCCTTCTGTGGCATTATCCATTTTTTTAGTGAGATGAACCAAATGAAACAAATGAAGTGATTGTAGGTTCAAATAGCTAAATAGTAGCAGAGCTGGGGATATAGTCTACGGTTCCCACTTCAGTATGTACTTACCTCTATTCGTCTATTCTTGCACATATGCTCTTCCGTCATTGGCCACATTTTCCAAGGACAGCAACAAAGAGTGGAAACTGGAGCTTAGCTAAAGTTGGAAAATTGTATATATATCTAGCATTCCATTATACTTGATCCTACTATGAAAAAAATAGTGGCCTTTCTAAAGTGCTTGTTGCTGATAAAATAGGTAACAGAAGTGTTGTAGGGTGTCATATTTTTAAAACTTTTAGATGTTTCCAGAAAGTGAGTAGTACCCTAAGTCCTATATGCAGTTCTTTTTCCTGATGTGTTTCTAGTCTCTGTGTATAGGAATTTTTGACCAGTATTCTAGAGAAATAAAAGTACATCTTCTGCATATCTTCAAAGAGATATAGAAAATATCCCATTCAGTACTTTGAAATGATGTAGATATTTTCTAAATATTAAAATATTGAAAGCAGTGACTTTAAAATCCATTAAATTTGCTATTTTAATAATCTTATATGAGTTTCACTACTTTATTATGTTATAATATTTTAGTTCTTGGATCTAGAGTGAGATTGTTCTAAGAATGTTATCCATTAAATTACAAACTTATTTTTGTTCACAATATTGCATCATCCCACTGTTACACTTGTATTTTCCTAGATTCAGTTTTGTTTTGTTTTTAATTTTGAGGACCCTTGGAACTCCAGATATATAGACCTTCTACGGAGAAATGCATACACACACAGAATTTTTTATACAATTTTAGTGCATTCTGGTTCCTATGGGTAGAGCTAAACTGACCATATTAACTTTGTTTCATGTGATTTTAACTTACATTCTTCCAATTATAGGGCTTTAGAATGTGCAAGTTTGACAGCCAATCAGTGTTCAGATGGTGTATGTCAATCGGAATGTGAGGACAGCTTTCCAACAAGTAAGGACAATTTTTAACGTTCACAGTTTAATCTCTGCCAAGTAAAATGGTTTTATCAACATTAATTCTCTATTTTAATATCTTCCTATATCTGTCTCTTTTTTTAAAAAAAATCCTCACCCAAGAAGTGAGGATATTTTTTTCCATTGATTTCTAGAGAGAGTGGAAAGGGGAGAGGGGAGAGAGGAGAGTGAGAGACAGAAAGAGAGAAAGAGAGAGAAACATGATGTGACAAACACATTGAATGGTTTCCTCCTACACACATTCCAACTTATTTTGTGTCCTAGCATGTGGTCTATCTTTGAGAATATTCCATGTGCACTTGAAAAGAATGTATGTTCCGCTGCTTTGAGGTGAAATGTTCTGTAAATATCAATTTATCTGACCCTGTGTTCCATTTAAGGTCACTGATTCCTTGTTGATTTTTTTGTCTGGAAGATCTATCCATTGATGACAGTGGGGTATTAAAGTCCCCTACTATGACTGTTTTGCTGTTGATCTATCCCTTAAAGTCTACCACAAGTTTTAAAAAATATATTTAGGTGCTCCTATATTGGGTACATATATGTTTATAAGGGTTATATTCTCGCTGGATTGATCCCTTTAGTACAGACAGTTCTTGGGTTACGTCGGACTCGACGTATGTCGTTTTGTGGTTACGTCGCCATCTCCCATTTATTTATTAAAAAAAAAAAGTTCCGTCATTTGGACATATGTGCATATGTGCTTTATGTTTTTTATTATTTATTTACCACAAGTACAGGTCAGGAATTGTTATCTTTCTTTTAAATATTTTATACTGTTTCACTTCATTACTGCTGTTTATGTGCTCCATGTGAGTGACGTAGGTGCTTATGTAGGTGGGTTCCGACTTACGGCGAAAATCACGTTAGGTCACACCTTAGGAACAGATCTCCGACATAACCCGAAGACCTACTGTATTATGTAGTGAACTTCTTTGTCTCTTGTTATGACCTTTGTTTGGAAGTCTATTTTGTCAGAAATAAGTATTGCTACCCCAGCTTTATTTCGTTTTTATTTGCATGGAATATTTTTTCCCATCCCTTCACAGTCAGCCCATGTGAATCTTTTGTTCTGAGTTGTGTCTCTTGTAGACAGCATATATATGGGTCATGTTTTCTTATCCATTCAGCTACTTCATATCTTTTGATTAGAGCTTTTAATTAGTTTACATTGAAGGTTATTATTGATAGGTACTTATTTATTGCCATTGTTTTTCTTTATGCTTATGTTCCTTTTCTCTCTATTTCTTTTTCTTCTTAAAGCAGTCTCTATAGCATGTCATGCAATGTTGGTTTGGTGGTATTGAGCTCCCTTAGCCTTTTTTTGTCTGGGAAGCTCTTTATTTTGCCTTTGAATTTACTAGTAAGTGATAGCATGCTGGATAGAGCAGTCTTTGTTTCAGGTTATTGCTTTTCATTGCTTTGAATACTTCATGCCACTCTCTTCTGGCCTGAAGTGTTTATGTTGAGAAATCTGCTGACAGCCTATGGGAACTTGCTTGTAGGTAACTAATTGTATCTCTGTTGCTGCCTTTAAGATTCTCTCAATATCTTTAATCTTGGCCATTTTAATTATGATGTGTCTTGATGTGCGTATCTTTGGTTTCATCTTGATTGGGACTCTGTGCTTCCTGAACTTGCATGACTTTTTCCTTCAGCAGGTTAGGGAAATTTTCAGTCATTATTTTTTCAAATAGATTCTCTAGCCCTCGCTCACTTTCTTCTTCTTCTGGAAGCCCTATGATGTGGATGTTGTTAAGTTTCATGTTTTCCCTAAGTTCCCTTAAAGCAGCAGTTCTCAACCTGTGGGTCACGAACAATGAAAATACATCCTGCATATCAGATATTTACATTACGATTCATAACAGTAGCAAAATTACAGTTATGAAGTAGCAACGAAAATAATTTTATGGTTGGGGGTCACCACAACATGAGGAACTGTATTAAAAGGTCGTGGCATTAGGAAGGTTGAGAACCACTGCCTTAAAGTATCCTCTTTCTCTAATTCTTTTTTCTTTTTGCTGCTCTAATTGGATGATTTTTTTCTACCTTGTCTTCCAAATTGCTGATTTGATCTTCTGCTTTGTCAAACCTATTGTTTATTTCTTTCAATGTATTCTTTATATCAGCATGATATTCTTCATTTATACCTGATTTTTTTCATGGTTTCTATGTAACTTTTCATGCTGTTGAGCATCCTTATAACCACTTTGAAATCTATATCTCATTAATTGCTTGCCTTCATTTCATTTAGCTCTTTTTATGGATTTCCTTCTTTTCTTTTACTTAGGGTTTTTTTCTTTGTCTCCCCAGTTTGGCTGTCTCTTTGTGTTTGTTTTATATAGTATATAGAACTGCTATGACTCCCAGTCTTGGTGTGGTGGCCTTCTGTAGTAGGTGTGCTGTGGGACCCCATGGTGCAGTCTCTGATCTCCTGAGCTGGGCACTCTAGGAATGTCTCTTGTGTGGGTTATTTGGGCCCTCTTTTTGTAATTAGGTCTTGATTGTTTTTGACATGTTCATGTGTGGGATCGACCCTCAGGCTGGCTAACTGAGGCTTGACCCTGACCATAGTGTGTAAGCTGCTGTACAGGTGTAGTCTCGAGGTGTCTTGTTGGGCTCAGTGGCACAGTCTTCCAGATCACCTGTGCTCAGTACTCCAGGAATGTTTCTTATGGGTTATGTGCATTCCCTGTTTTAGTTGCATCTTGATGAATGCTGTTGGCCCTTTAGTGGGTGGAGTTAACCCTTCAGGCTGGGTCGCTGTAAGGGTTAACCCCAATCATTGAGTGAGACATTGTATAGGGCTGCCCTTTGAGGCAGAGTTGCTCTCAGCAGGATCTAGTGGCTGCCAGAATCTTCCTTTGGGTGTGTCTCTTGTGTGGCTGGTTGAATTGACCTCTGGTGTTGTCTGAATCCCACCACTGGCTGTGTCGGTTCTGGGTCCACTTGAGTGGTGTCCAGGTACAGGTCACTATCAGACATTGTATGTAACTGGTTTTGGTCTGCCTGTCTAGTGCTACCAGGTTGTTTACTGTTTGCGTCTGCATCTACTGGACCTGGGTTGCCACAGAGGGTTAATCTGTATATACGGGTCAGCTTCCTGGAGTTCTGAGCTGGGCTCAGATAAATAAAAGGTCAAGGTTCCCTGAGATCTGCATCCACCTGTTGGCTAATTTGCTCCTCCTCAAGGTTGCCTGGACTTCCTCCAGAGTCTTATGCAGAAAGGCTATAGAGTGGGCCAAGCTGGCCACGCCCCACTGAGCTCAAGCTTAGTAGGTCGAGGTGACCAGATCAGGCGGACAGGGCTAATGGGTCCCCTAGTTTGGGGCAGCATGGTCCGGCACTCAATGGGGAGAATGTGGTCCCTACTCCAGACTCATGCTGTGCAGTCTCTTCCAGAGTCTTCAACCGTAGCTCCCCCAGGAGGAGTGTGTCACAGGTTCAGGTAGGATGCCCTCACTGTAGGATCATGCTCAGCAGGACACAACAGGGTCACTGGGACTTGAGCATACAGATCAAGAAAGCCTTTTTGGGGGGTAGCACCAACTGTGCCATGGGAAGTGAGTGAGCTGTTTGTCTTCACTTAGCAGCACACCACCAGAGACCCCAACAGGAGGCTCGGAGGGGGTCAAGCCAAATGTCCTGGTTCTGAGTTGTGCTTCCTTCCCCCTGCAGAACTGTGCTTGGCAGGCCAGTGTCCAGCAGAATTTGGGAATGCAAATCGAGGCAGCCTTGTGTTGGGAGTGGCGCAGGACTGGGAGAGGGGTGCAAATGCATGCCTCCCCCTAGCTCAGCCGTGGGCAAACTACGGCTCACGGGCCGGATCCGGCCCGTTTGAAATGAATAAAACTAAAAAAAAAAAAAGACCGTACCCTTTTATGTAATGATGTTTACTTTGAATTTATATTAGTTCACACAAACACTCCATCCATGCTTTTGTTCCGGCCCTCCGGTCCAGTTTAAGAACCCATTGTGGCCCTCGAGTCAAAAAGTTTGCCCACCCCTGCCCTAGCTACACAGCTGCCTGCTGCCTGTGACCCTAGCATGAGAGTCTTCCATTGGGGGTGGTGCCTGCCTAACCTGTGGGAAGGGGGAAAGATTGGCCCTTGTTCCAAAGCCACTCGGTTCAGTGATCGTCTGAGAGTCATTTATAGTTTCTCCAGAAGAAGCGTGCACCTCAGGTCCCTGTTGGATGCAGCCAACAGTCCTTTCTGCTGGACTCAGTCTTGGCAGGATGGTGTCACCAGTATTTGGAGGACGGGGTTAGTGCACTTTTTCTAGCTGGTGCTCTAAGAAGACAAGTGCTCGACCTTGGAAAATGGCGCCTGAGGGTAGTATGGGATATTGACTCAGGATCCGCACCTCAGAAGCTAACCTTCCAGATCTCCATGGCTATGCCCCCCAGATCTTCTCTTTATGGCTTCCCTATACCCGAGTCTCCTTCCCTCTTCCAGAGCCCTGGGTGAGTGCCAAAGAGTGAGCCCCACTGCATTGGCCCTGGTATTCTAGCAAACCTCCCACTCTTTTCAGTGGACAAAGTCCCTGCTTATTTTTGCTGCCAGATGCTATGTAGGCTCTTCTTCCTGGCCCTGGTACTCTGGTTTGGGGTCCCAGTGCGGTGTTGAGACCCCACTTTCCTCAGGGGGGACTTTTGCAGCCACAATATCCCTCCAACTTCTCAGTCCCTGCCACCTGGGTGTAGGGACCAGCCTTCTCCATGTCTCCACCCTTCTCAACAGATTCAGTGTAGCTTATTTTTTTCAATTCTTGGATGTAATACTCCTGTTCAAGTGCCCTTCAGTTGTTTATTCAGGTTGATTATTCTAAATTTTAGCTGTAAATCCAGTTTAGTGTCAGAGGAGGTGTGTGTTGCTTTCATCTACTCCACAGCCATCTTGAACCCAGACACGTAAAACGTTTATCATATACTTATTGGCCCTTTTTACTCCCTCTTTGAATTGTCGGCTCTTATCCCTTATCTGATTTCCTGTTGGATTCTTTATAGATTCTTTATCATTTTTGTTTATGAGAGACCATGTATATATTTTACACAGCTTTTCTCATTACTTGACTACTTTTAAGGTTTTAGCCATGCAGAATGGCATTTACTAAGAAATCAGATTCATTGAAATTATACTTTCCCAGTTTAGCATGTCTATTCAAGTTCTCTTGTCATGGATTCTTATGTAATCTATTGGTGATAGTGAGGAAGAAGGACAAGTATTATACATGATAACCCTAAATTATAATAACATAATATACTACCCTATATAATAAAAGGGTAATATGCAAATCGACTGGTGGAATGACCAGTCACTATGACACGTACCGACCACGAGGGGGCAGACGCTCAATGCAGGGCCTCTTGGTCCCTTTCCCCCGCCAACAGGTTCCGATCACCCAGTGGTGAATGGGGAACCGAGGGTGGGTGGCGGCGGGGCACCGGGCTGGCTGCCAGCAGCCAGGGAAGATGGCTCTGATCGCAGGCCAGAACTAGGGACCGTATCTGTGCACGAATTTCGTGTGCCGGGCTTCTGGTTTTATATAGTAGAATGTAAGGTAGAGTAATTACAAAATATAGGTACTTTTTGAAGTCTTAAATTCTTCATTTTAGAAAGTATTATTAAAATTCAAATTTATTGCTCAGTTCACTACTTTTGCTTTCTTGTTGAATTAAAATTCTATCTTACGGTGTTCACCAAGTCATCCTATTAAATTTAGTAAGTTTATTATTTTATTCACCTTTCCTTTTATTTCCTTCACATTGTATTTTTCCAAAATAATGAAATTTTTAAACTTACAGAAAAGTTGAAACAATCTAAAGTGAGCACTCATATTCTCATAACCTGTTTCTCAAGTTAACCTTTTACTCTATGTACTCTGTCATTTATCTATCAATCCATATTATTTCTTGATTCAAATAAGTTACAGACCTAAGTATACCTCCTAAACATTTCAGAATGAGCATCATTGACTAGAGTTCAGTGTTTGTTTAGGATATTTTTTATTTTTGAAATAAAATTATATGCAATGAAATGGACAACTTATGTGTACGATTTCATGACTTTTCACTAATACACAAATCTGTGTAACCTAAATCTCTCTTAAAATCTAGAGCATTATCCTTGTCACAGAAAGTTCCCTCACGTTCCTTCCCAGTGAATCCTCATCACTACCCCACCCCAGAATTTGATTATTTTTCTATCATAGATGAACTGCACCTCTTCTAGAAATTCAAATAAATGAACTACTATGTACCCCTGTATATACTATGTTTTTTAGATTCATACTAGAGGCCTGGTGCACAAAATTTGTGCACAGGTAGGCCCTAGGCCCGGCTGGCGATCAGGGCCAATCAGGGCCTTCCAGCTGTTGGCCGGGGCTTTCCTTTGTTCTGCGCCACCTCCTGGTGGTCAGTGCACATCATAGTGAGCAATCAAACGCCTGGTCGAACTCCTGAGGGGACACTTTGCATATTAACCTTTTATATATATAGATTGTTTCATGTATCAATAGTTTATTCCTTCTTAATGCTAGTAGTATTGCATGAGATAGACATTTTTAAAATATGAATTTACAGTTGTATCACCTGCTTGTTTTCTTTTTCTGTAAGATGGCTTTGGCATCTTTGTCAAAAATCAAATGGGCATAAATGTGGATTTATTTCTGGGCTTTCTGTCCAGTGCCTACTAATATTATAAATTAAGCATTTTTTCCCCCTCACACTAATTTCCAGTTGTAGCCCCATTTGTTGAAAGAGTTTTGCTTCCCCTTTGGATTGCTTTGCTGCCTTTATCAATAATAAAATGATCATGTAACTGTGGTTTTATTTCTGAGCTTTCTATTTAATTTTGTTGATATGTTGGTCAGTCTTTCTGTCAGTACCATATGGTCTTAATTTAGCAAGTCTTTAAGTCTTGAGTATAAGTTCTCCAATTTTGTTCTTTGTCAAGATGTGTTCTAGATTCTTATATTTCTACCTAAGTGATAGAATCCGCTTGTGTCTTTCTACAGTTAACCTGCTGCAGTTTTGATTATAGGATTATATTGAATCTACAGAGTAATTTGGGAAACTTCCCATCACTTAACATGGCATATTTTACTATTTGTTTAAATTTTTTTCAGTTTCTCTGCAATGTATTATGGTTTTCAATGCCTCATTAAATTTTTAATGGATTTTAAAACTGTATAATTTCCTATTTTTCTTCCTATAGGCTCTGGATCAGTATCATTGTATGAGGTAGAAAGATGTCAACAACTATCAGCTACAAGTAAGACCATGTTTCATTTTTGAAATACGGCATAATCGTGAGCATATTAAAACATGTCCTTCCACAAATCAACAAATTCATTTCTATTAAATATTGAGAGCAGATGTCCATGAGGGCAAAAACATATCTATATTTCTCTCTTATTCCTCTACCTCATCCTAACTAGCATAAAATGAAACCCAGAAAAGAAATTCTCAGTTAATAATGAAACATGTCACATCTTATTCAAATTGAGCATCAAAATAAAACATACTAGTGATGGAATAGAACTTACTGAATAAAGTAGAATCCACTACCTCATGTGGATAGTAAATAAAAGAACAAAACAAATGAAGTTGAATGGAAAACTCTTTAAACTTTTTTTCCCCATTTATTTTTAGAGACTGGGAGGGAAGGAGAGAGGGGGGAGAAAGAGAGAGAGAAACATCTATGTGAGCGAGACACATCGATTGGTTGCCTCCCATAGGAACCCTGACCGGGGCCAGGGATCGAACCTACCAGGTATGTGCCCTTGACCAGGAATCAAACCCAATACTCTTCGGTGCAAAGGATGACACTGTCACCACTGAGCAGCACCAGCCAGGACTCTTATTAAAAATAGAATGGCAACTAATGAATGTAAAAGGAATGATGAAGCTAGGAAAAAAGACAACACCATTTTGCAACCATGGTAGTAATTGATTTATTTGTGAATCGCCAGTGTGTCCTAAACTAGTGGAATCTTTAATGTTTAATAAGATTGGGATATTTATGTTTTCCCCAATTACTTTCTTATTAATTAAAAAGGGGAAAAATAAATTTATAGTCAAGAAATCTGTTGAACACCACCTTAACCAACAAAATTAAATCCCCAGGAAAGAAAACACTGATATCGTTTGCCTCTTGATGTGATACATTGAGGAGGAAGGTCACAGTATTATTTATATAGTAATATTCCTGCCAGAAATGCATATTTTGTATCTGATCATGAGAAAAGCCAGGCATAACCAAATAAATGGCCTCTTCTCAAATACATCAGTATCATGAAAGACAGAGTAAAGCTGAGGAACCATTCTTCACCAAAGGGGTTCAAAGAGATTTGAAAAGTAAATGAAATGCATGGCTCATGATTGGATTCTCAACTGAGAAATAAAATGCTGAATAAGAATATTATGAGAGGACTGTTGGAGAAATTTGAATAAAGTCTGTTGTATTATGTAAATGAAGTCTTGTTTTTGTGAAATACACACTGAAATATTTAAAGTTAAAGGGGTGTGATGTCTGGAAATTATTCTCTAAGGATTCTCATATATACACAGTTATAAATGAATTACGTATCTGTAAGGTATGGGGTGTCCCCCAAAAATGTATACACACACTATCAACTGTTAGAATGTGCATACATTTTTGTGGGGACACCCTGTATATGTGGAGAGAGAGAGACAGAGATAAAGACAGATGGAGATGATGATAAATGTGGAAAAATCTTATCAAGGTTGACAATACAATTTAAATGGGTTTTTTAGAATATATTTTCAAGGAGATTCATGTCATGAATATACTTATTATTCTTATAGATTATTCTACCTTAATCTAAAATTTCTTTATAGTACTTACAGATCATCAATATTTGGAGAACACCCCACTATGTGCTATTTTGAAACAAAAAGCTCCCCAACGATATCGTATCCGAGCAAAATTGAGATCATATAAGCCCAGAAAACTCTTTCAGTCTATTAAACTTTATTGTCCTAACTGTCAGTCAATGTAAGTATCTTCCATAATAGCACAAGTTTCATTTCATAATACTTATGTATATGTTTTCATATATGTCAGTTTAAGTCCTGGAAATGAGTAAATTGTGATTTTCTGCATTATATTTAGATAGAATGCTAACATTTTTAAGAGAAAATACTAAATTCTTAGAAAGTAAATCCTTCTGATATTTCTTAGTAATAACAAGTAAAAGTAGGGGCTATTTTTAGATGTGAAATTCAACTTAGTAGCTCTGTCAAATGCAGACAAATAATAAACTATGAAAATATTTGGGGAGACTTACTCATTTGTCACAAAAAATATTCTTAAAAATAAACCATTAACTACTATAATTTTTTTATTTAAATTATATTTATTGGGATGACATTGTTATTAAAATTAATGATTTCATGATTCTTTACATAGAAAATGCTAAAGACTCCACCAAATAACTATTAGAAACAATACACAAATACAGTAAAGTTGCAGGATTCAAAGTCAATGTACAAAAATCCACTGCATTCCTATATGCTAACCATGAAATTTCAGAAAAATAAATGGAAAAAACAATTCTTTTGCATTTGCAACAAAAATATAAAATACCTAGGAATAAACTTAACAAAGAACATGAAAGACCTATATACTGAAAACTACAAAGCATTATTAAAAGAGATTGAAAAAGACACAATGAATTAAAAAGATATTCTATGTTCATGGATTACAAGAATCAACATAGTTGAAATGCCCATATTATCCAAAATAATATACAGATTTAATGTAATCCCATCAAAATCCCAATGACATTTTCTAAAGAAATAGAAAAAATAATCATCACGTTTGTATAGAATTACAAAAGATCCCAAATAGTCAAAGCAACTAAAATTCTTAAATAGAAAAGACTTCTGGTTAGTTGAAAATTTTAACTGACATAGAAAGCCTTGTTGGAAATATTTCTCTCCTGTTTAATAACTACAACATAGTAAATGCAACTTAAATTATTGTTAGTAATTGAAAATTTCTCAGTACCTTAAAGTCTTCATTCTAAACATCAATTATTATAATACTAGGGGCCCAGTGCACGAATTCTTGCACTTGAAAGGAACTGTGGGCCTCGAGGCTGCGGTGGGCACAGTTGCAGGTCTCTGCTCATCCTCCACGCCCCCGCCTGGCACCTCCCACCACAGGTCCCGTCTGCCGGCAGCTCCTTTCCCGCTGCTCCCACATGCTGATGGCGCCAGTAGCGGGTGTGAGCAGGACCGGTGCTGTCAGCAGGTGCGAGCAGTGGCTGCTGCCCCAATTGCCCCTCAGGAGCAGAGAAAGGTGGAGAAGCCCTCAGGGGCAATTGGGGCCAGTAGCCGCCGCTCCTACCCGCTGACGATGCTGAGCAATCGAGACCAGCGCTGTGCGCCAGCAGCGGGGTGCAAGCGCCGGGCAGGATATCAGTGCGTGGGAGCAAAGAATTTTCAGTAACCACCGTAGGCTCGCCCTGATGACAGCGACCAGTGCCCTGCCTTGGTCTGGTGCCCCCACTCACCTCTATCATCCTGCCACGGTCAACGCCCACCATGTTCCCTGGTGGTCAGCGCACGTCATAGCGACTGGCTGTTTGGTTGTTCTGCTGTTCGGTCTATTTGCATATTAGGTTTTTATATAGATAGATAGATAAACATATAAATGTATAAGACATTAGAATGAATATGTACTTACTAGCTTATTAGCTCAACAATCTTCCCTCTAAATATATGATGTATAAATACTATATACGCATCTCAATTATATTTGTGTGCTTATGTATTGTTTGTGTTTATGCCTCCATGTACACTGATATATGTATAGTCCCCTCTAAAATCTAAGTGTAATACTGTTTGTAGAGATTTTTGATCATCATGTCTTCTTAACTGAAAGGGGGGACTGTCTTCTGCCCATTTGAATTTTAAATGATAGTTGGAATTAAAGTATCAGACAGATTTTAGATAGTTCTTGAAGCATTATCAAATGATAGTTTGTCAAATTCTGTAATATCACTTAACTTTGTGAAACAAAACCACCCTCTGTGATCATTTTTTACACAAATAAGGAAATTGCCTCACAAAGGTTAAGAGGTGTTACCTAAAGTTACACAGCTGGTTGATTCCAGATCATGCCATTTCTACTCAAGCATACTTTACCATGTGACTTTTCAAAACTATTACTCTAGATTAAAAGAAATCAAAACAAATATTGGTTTGTGAAGTAGATGCCCTATGACAGTGAGATTTCTTAGGTGGTAAGTGGGTTGAAGACAAGGAGGGGACTGCTGTATTTTCTTATCTCACTGGGAAGTTAAGCATTCCTTACAAAGGAGAACAAATTGGTACTAGAAATAATTATAATTAAAAACTTGGATATCACAAAACCAGGCAAGGAAGTTGCTGGTGGTTAATGTAATTATTGATAAGGAGCTACTTAGCCATGAAATACAAATATCTTTCTATTGAATAACAGTCTTTAATCAGGAAAGTGAATTATCTCCATATTTTAAAATAAACTGGTTCTTCAGCACATAAACAATTCTTTGATTGGATAATTTGGAAAATTTGAATTTACAAGCTTATGCCAATTGTTTTGTGTTTTTTCCTTGTTGATTATTTTAGGCAGGAAGTTCTGCACGAAGGTGATTTGGATCGAATTTTGCAAGAGAACGCAACTAAAACTCCCAATACTAAACTACAAAATACTTCATTATATGATTCGAAAGTCTGGTCCACTAAAGATCAGGGAGAACGACAAGTAGCTGTTCATTTTGTGAAAAATAATGGTATTCTCCCACTTTCAAATGACTGTCTAATTTTGATAGAAGGTAAGATATTTAAGTTGTTGTTTTATTAGGTTATAGCTTTCTTATGTCTTTCTCTAATTATTATTAAACTTATTTTAGGGGCAACCTAGCAGTGATGGCGAACCTATGACACGCGTGTCAGAGGTGACACGGGAACTCACTTTTTTGGTTGATTTTTCTTTGTTAAATGGCATTTAAATATATAAAATAAATATCAAAAATATAAGTCTTTGTTTTACTATGGTTGCAAATATCAAAAAAATTCTATATGTGACACGGCACCAGAGTTAAGTTAGGGTTTTTCAAAATACTGACACGCAGAGCTCAAAAGGTTTGCCATCACTGACCTAGGATATATTAAGTCAAAATATTGTTAATTTAAATTTCATAAAATGGAATATATTATCAATAACAACTAGATTCAAATATATACATACACACACATATATATACTTATCTGAATGACATTTTGAAATTATACATTAAATTCAGGTGTTTGCATTTGTTCATTTTGTTGGATTTTTGCATGTAATTTTAATCAGATCCAAGCTGATTATCAAGCTGAGTAATAATTAAGAGGCTGCTTGTGATGTACAGTTGCTGTTATCTTGGCCTCTGGATGTCACTATCGCTTCATAAAAGTAGAATGAAATAGATAGCATCTATTGATATCTAACCAGAGAAGGGACCCTTGAGACAAGTAAAGATAACTTGACATGTTTTTAAAAAATTAAAATTTGAGTCTTATTTATTTTTGCATTGCTTTTCCACTTTTGCCTTATTTTTATCTAATATATCTACCACAGATTTTTTTCCCATGCTAAATTTAGTTTCATTATTTTCTTAAGAATATTCCATAATAAAAGGAAAACATCATCTTTGATTTTGCATTATAGAAATCTGTAGTTGCATTTTATAAATGAATGCTCTTTATTACAATGGGTTATGATCATTGTTATTACTGACATTTTTGTATTTATTTTGTAGCAATACATAACCCTTTTAGAAAATAGCTATATCTAGAATACACATTTTATCATTTTCATGAGAATCTTGTTTTAATACATTTATCGTGTATCAGAAACTATTTTAATTTCTGTGCAATAATTAAATCATTATGACAATCCTATACATTTGGTACTATTATAAGCTGTTTTGATGCATGAGAAAACTGAACTGCGGAGAAGTTAAATGTCTTTCCCAGTGTAGGTGGTAAGTGGTGGAACCGAATTGTTTTCTGTTTTTTGACATAGTAACTCTGATGAACTTTGGATAAAGTATAATTATGAGGGCACAGTAATTAAGCAAATGTTGCCCAGTTCCTTTGTAGTAAAGTTATCCTAGTTGCATATGCTTTAGCAGCATAGGCCGTTATCTGCTCCCCTACCCTCGTGATCATATACTAGCACTTTAAAGAATTTGGCTACTTTGATGAGTGAAATGTGGTATCTTAATTCCATTAGCAATATTTTAATCTGTACCAGGAGATAGATTTCAAAACAAAAGCACACAGACACATGCATGCAAAAAATGGAGTCAGAGTATTTGTAGGCTATAAAAATAAAAGAAAGCTGTGGTATTTGTAGGCTATAAAAATAAAAGAAAGCTGTGGTCCTAGGAGGCTTATAAGAACTGTCCTTAGGGCCAAAGAGAGGGTGTCCTGTGTGCCTCAGGGCCCTCCTGTGTGGCACTGCCTCCCACAGAATTCTGTGCTGAAGCCAAGATGGCTTTGAAGGTCCAAGGGAGCTTGAATTACAAAGTCCCTTTAGCTCCTAGTCCTATCTTACCACCCAGCCACAAACCTTCAGGCTCCTCTCCCATAATTCCCACCCCACTCTCCAGCCATCCTGAACTGGTGGCAATTCCTAAACCCTGCATCTTACTCTGTGCCTTTTTGCCATTCCATTGCTCTTCTGGGAATTTGTGCTCTAGTATATCTTCAGAAGTAAATTCAATAATTCCCTTTGTTTTGACAGCGGTTCTCAACCTGTGGGTCGCGACCCCTTTGTACATCCTGCATATCAGATATTTACATTACGATTCATAACAGTAGCAAAATTACAGTTATGAAGTATCAACGAAAATAATTTTATGGTTGGGGGTCACCACAACATGAGGAACTGCATTGAAGGGTCGCGGCATTAGGAAGGTTGAGAACCACTGGTTTAGCAATTCATGTGGAATCTAATCTAATAAAAGACAAACATGCAAGTTGACCATACCTTTGCTATGCCTTAAGCCACGCCCACCAGCCAATTAGAGTGACTATATGCAAATTAACCCATCCAAAATGGCGGCTGGCAGCCATGGAGCTGGAGCAAGCAGGAGGCTTGGTTGCTCCAGTGATGGAGGAAGCCAAGCTTCCTGCCTGCCGCGGCCAACTCTGAGCTCTACTGAAGGCAACAAAGTTTCAATTATACAAGGTAAATAAATCCCAGAATAAAAAAAAAAAGGAGAGGCTGGGAGCTTCCGTCGCCAGGGGGCTTGGCCAGCCTGAAAACGGCCCTCAGCCCCTCACCTAGGCTGGCCAGGCACCCCAGTGGGGACCCCCACCCTGAAGGGGTTGTGGCCAGTCTGCAAACACCCATCAGCCCCTCACCCAGGCTGGCCAAACCTCCATGGGGTGAGGGTCCCCACTGGGGGGGAGGGGCTTGACCAGCCTGCAAACAGCCATCAGCCCCTCACCCAGGCTGGCCAGGCACCCAAGCGGGACCCCCCACCCTGATCCGGGACACCCTTCAGGGCAAACCAGCCGGCCCCTACCCATGCACCAGGCCTCTATCCTATATAATAAAAGGGTAATATGCAAACTGACCCTAACAGCAGAAAAACTGGGAATGACTGGTCACTATGACACACACTGACCACCAGTGGGCAGACGCTCAATGCAGGAGCTTCCCTCTGGTAGTGCACTCCCACAGCGGGAGCTCTGCTCAGCCACAAGCCAGGCTGACGGCTGCCAGTACAGAGGTGGTGGTAGGAGCCTCTCCCGCCTCCTCAGCAGCGCTAAGGATGTCCGACTGCAGCTTAGGTCTGCTCCCCGCTGGCAAGTGGACATCCCCCAAGGGCTCCTGGGCTGCCAGAGGGATGTCTGATTGCCAACTTAGGCCCAATTCCCCGGGGAGTGGGCCTAAGCCAGCAGATGGACGTCCCCCGAGGGGTCCCAGACTGCAAGAGGGCACAGGCCGGGCTGAGAGATCCCCCCGCCAGTGCACAAATTTTTGTGCACCGGGCCTCTAGTATTTAATGAGCACCTATACATTTGAAGCGCTTTTTCTGATTCACCAGACAGATTTGAGTGGTTTTTATAACATACTGCTTGTATTTCCAGTGGAGCACTTTTCTTCTTGTATTATATTTGTGTTTTATCTGACTGTTCATAGAAGTTTTTTCTTATTAGAATGTAAGCTCCCTAAGGACAGGATACATGTTTATTTTAATCTATGTACCTTCAGCACCTGGCATAGAATGCCTGGCATATAACTGGCTCTCAGTAATTATTTATTAAATAAATAAGTAATTCAAAGCAATAACACTTTACCTTACAAAGATTTAAAGTGTATGTTGAAAGCACTTTAAAATATGAAAGGGTTTCATCAAAATATAATGTTTTTATTTTATTGTGGTTCTGAGTATTGTAACCCTGCCTAACCTGAGGCTAGGACCTAACTGCAGTGTGACCTGGCAGAGCTGTGGTTTCCAGCTCCCACAGAGCTGCAGACAGAGGGATAGGGGGAAGTTTATCCTTGCATTGTTGCGAGCCTTGCATTAATTTCTAGAGCTCTGGAAGAATTGCATTTAACAGTTTTGCCAGTGTTCATTTTGTCTTTATGGAGAAGTGTATTTTTGGACATCTTTAGTAGGCTATGCCAGAAATGCTTCCCATCACAACTGAATTTTAATGTTCCACATTTTATACAGATTTTAGGAAATACACCAAAGTATTTTTATAAATCATATTCTTTTTCCCTAAAGAGGAACAATTATCAATCTAAGTAAAAAGTACACCAGAAAAGGTACCAAGAGGTGTGAGTTTCCCCCCGAAAATACTGCCTTGTAATAATGGTGCACCATTGGGCGTACTGTTTCTTCTCAGCCAGCGTGATGGTTTTAATGCTCACCCTGTCATAGAATTGAGGTAATTGAGATGGTTTTCCAGGAAAAATGAACCAACACTATAATAGTACATGAATTCATATTACATGGACTATGCATCTTTACTTAATGTTGACCTGAAAGTTAAAAGAGTTATCTCAAACTCAGGATTGAACTTGCCTAGACATTAGTAGTAATAGAAAATTTAGTAATGAGAATCCTGTGTACTTTGGCTTTTAATTTTATTCTTTTGATTCTTTGAAACCAAGTGTTCCTGGCATAAGGAGCAACTTGTATACATTTAAGAAGATGATTAAAATTTCACAAGCCTTGTATTTTGCTCAAGTCTCAGCATTTTCTGTTCAGTGGTTTCTGTGCAGGAACCTGTTTACATATCATTTTTCAGAATGAATGTATAAATGTATTAAATCTCTAAATTCATGGCTTTGTCTTTTTTATTATACCTTACATTTTGCCTACATTATATTTGTACTACTTGAAGGGTTTTTTTATTCTCTTAATAGGAGGTACACTTAGTGAAATCTACAAACTGGCAGACAAGTTTCATAGTGTAATCCCTGTGAAATCTGGCCATGAAGACCTGGAACTGCTTGACCTTTCAGTACCATTCCTTATCCAAGGAAAAATACATCACTACGGGTATGTTTTTAGTTCTGGGAACTTTATAAATTAAAAATAAGAGTAATTTTTACTGTTATTATTTTACCCACTTGTTTCTGTATAGTCAGTGGATACTTATTGAGTACCAATTTATATGTACTAGATTTTTCATATATATTTACTGTTTTGATAGCATATATATTGAGTGCCTACAATGTGCTAGATATATAGCTACCCAGAGAGTAATTACCATTTGTTTGCTTTCACAAGGATTTAACTACTTACAGAGAAAGGTTCAGAGCTGCAGCCTCGTCAATGTTAAGTGATTGAATTCCAGAATTTCTGTGGCACAAAGTTACAGATTAGTTGCCACTGAGTAATTGGAACATATCAGAGTACATTAGGAACTAGAAATAGATTTTTACCTTTGGAAGGAAGTAGTGGGAATAACATCTCCTTTCCTTCACTTGATGAAACAATCATCTTGAAGTGCTCTGCTTTGAGAAACCTTGAATTATAGAATACATCCTATACCAGCCCTCCCCCTTGCATGCTCCTATATTTGTAGCCGTTGTTCATTGGTATAATATGAAAATCTTGATTTCAGCTGAAAACTGCATCCTGCAATCACGTTATCACTATGATTGTGACTGTTGAAGTCATTGGTAGGCATGTGGAGATTGCCCTGGGTTCTGTTCCATATACAAAATGTCAAACTTCAGGTATAAGTTGGAACTAGTGTGCCACTGAGTTAAAACCCTGGGTTGTAGCTATTTTTACTCTGATGTGCCTTGTGTTTTTAATTATATCTCTCATTGAACTCATGACTTCAGAGTCAAGCTCATCAAGATTTATCCAGCAATTAGTTCAAAACTAAAACTTTATTGCCCGGCCAGAGTGGCTGGTTGAGCATTGTTCTGTGCACCACCAAAAGGTTGCCGGGGCACGTGCAGAAGGCAACGGATTGATGTTTCTCTCTCACATTGATGTTTCTCCCTTTCCCTCTTTTCCTCTCTCTCTCTCTCTTCCTCTTTCTCCCACTTTCTAAGCATGTCCTTGGGTAAGGATTTTAAAAATAATAATAAATAAAGTTTGTCAAATTTAGTTTCTTTTTTTTATAAATATATTTGTATTGCTTTCAGAGAGGAAGGGAAAGGGAGAGATAGAAACGTCATCGATGAGAGAGAATCATTGATTGGCTGCCTCCTGCATGTCCCCTACTGGGGATCAAGCCCCCAACTCGGGCATGTGCCCTTGACCAGAATCGAACCTGGGTCGACGCTCTATTCACTGAGCCAAACCAGCTAGGGCTGTTTGTTTCTTTTTAATAAGTCACTAACATGGGCCTTCTCTTTTTTACATGCCCATCCTCATTTGCTTGCACTTTCTCTCCTCTTCCTCTCTTCCAATATACTTCCTAATATCAGTCACTTTGGCCAGTCTTGAACCAGAAAAAACAATATTAGTTATTAAGCTTTGGAATATCCTTCACTTACTAGAATCCTATATAAAATAAAAGAGAAACATGCAAATTAACCATCCCTCTGCTACGCTCAAGCCACGCCCACAAGCCAATCAGGAGGGAGTATGCAAATTAACCCAACTAAGATTGCGGCGGCCACGGAGCTGGAGCGAGCAGGAGGCTTGGGTTGCCCCCAGCATGCAGGTGGGCGGGGACTTGACTCTGGGTCCTGTGGTGTGCCCCAGACTCTGACAGGAGGAAGATTTTCATATACATTTTACTAATTTTCTTTCATCTCTGACACTTCTATTATAGATAAAGGGCAAATAGCAATATTAAAATATTTCCTCTAATTAATTCCCTTTTAATGTGCACGAATTTTGTGCACCAGGCCACTAGTACAATAATAAAAATATAACAAAACCCCAAAACCTTAGAGCAAATAAGTCATGATTGCCCTAAGGTTTTGGGGTTTTATTATATTTTTATTATTGTATCAGGATTTTTTTCAGTTCGTAATTGCTTAGTATCTTATTCTCCTCTTTGCTTTCATGTTCCTTTGTTGTTATCCTTTAGTAGGTCTCATGAATAAATAGTTATGAGTAAATTTTAGTTATTTTTAAATAGATGAGTTTAAAATGTTAATTTTTGATATAATTAGGTCTTATTTCTACACTTTATGTTGTTTTTCACCTCTACTATTACTGTTCTCTTATTTTTGTTATTATTTTACTTATTTTTCTTCAATATTCTTTGGAATTGATTTATAAAAAATGTTCTTAATTTTCTCCTTTTTTCTCTTTCACTACGTTAGAGCTAATGAATTCTGTATTTAATTTTTATTTGTTACCCTTAATTTTTCATTTGCATGCTAATTTTTTATTTGTATACTTGCTTTATCAATGTCTAAAGTTAATATTGCCATTTTTAAGGCAATAACATTTCTTTCAGTTGCCTTTTTCTGTTAAAAAAACACACACAAAAAACAGATTTGTTTGAAGAGTGGGAGGTTCATAAAGATTATCTGTTTAAACATTTTTGTTTTACCAAATAAGGCAATTAGCCAAATTAATTAATAATCTGGACCTGAAACCTCTCTCTTATTCTCAATTTATTGGTTTATTCTGAACTATACTTTCTTTTTGATTGCTTCTATTGTTAAAAGCTTATTAAAATAATTCTGATTGTAATATGCACAATATAGGAGCGACAATACTATTTTTTTAATTTGTTTTTTAAAACGTGCATAGTCGAACAGCAAAAATAAGTTATAATATTAAATGAGTTATAGGTAATATAATAAGTTATTTTAAAATGTTTGTTTTTGTTTTATTAATTTCAGATGTAAAAAGTGTTCTAGTTTGAGACCAATACAAAATCTAAATAATCTGGATGATAAAACATCATGGATTCCTTCTTCTGTGGCAGAAGGTTAGCTAAATTTCTTTGTCCTTCAATTTTTACTGTCTTTGTGTCAGGGGATCTCACTGATTATATTTCAGTATTTGTGGATATAGTCAAACCAGAGCAAAGTATAAAGTAAATGCTTAAAATATTTGGAAACTTAATTTTCAAGCATCTGCCATTATCTTTTAATTTTTACTCTTATTTTAATGTTCAGTAATTTGTTTTAGTTTAATCATTAATCACAAATACAGCTTCTGAAAAATCTCTCCAGCTCATAGTACCTTGATTTTTTTTTTAAATATATTTTGTTGATTTTTTACAGAGAAGAAGGGAGAGGGATAGAGAGTTAGAAGCATCGATGAGAGAGGAACATCGATCAGCTGCCTCCTGCACACTCCGCACTGGGGATGTGCCCGCAACCAAGGTACATGCCCTTGACCGGAATCGAACCTGGGACCCTTCAGTCCCCAGGCCTACGCTCTATCCACTGAGCCAAACCGGTTAGAGCAGTACCTTGAATTTAAAAGAGTTTTCGAGATAGCTATTACAACTTTTTGCCAAATACAAGTCTTTAGCTGGAACAATTATCTTTTTATTTCACATGTTTAACTGTGGTTGCCTAGCCTTGGCTTAAAACTCTTTCAGTGACAGGGGACTCATTACATTCCCTTAATTTTTAGGCAGTTTTTGATAGTGAGGCAAAATGTGCCTACCTATGATTTTAACCTGGGCCACATTCTATTTACTAGAATTAGAGGATATCTATTCCTTCTTCCAAAGATCAACAGACTTTGTACATTTGAAAATATCTGTTGAGCCTTCATTTAGTCTATTTCTCCAAGCAAGCATCTCGCTTCCTTTGGTACTTTCCCACATTCCTTTGTATTTTATTTCTCCTCCTCAATAAACATTTCACTTTGCCAATGCTCTCCTCCAAGTTTAGCATTCAAAGCTGAAAATAGGGCTGCAGATACTGGCCAATTCAGAATACAAACAAAACTTGTATTTCCCTAAAATTGGACACTTTGCTTCTCTACTGGCCGGAAAATTTCATTGTACAGCAGGTTCTTGAATAACATCGTTTTGTTCATTGTCATTTCCTTGTAACATTGAGGAGATGCCTTAGGAACTTAACTCTTGTTTATATCAATTAGCCTCTGGTAAAATTGGTTTTGTTATATGTTGTTTTGCAATAGTTCCAAGAACCTGTTGATAATGTTAAGAACTTACTGTGTTGATATGAATTTTTATATTAATTTGTTTTTTATATTAATTTGTATACTTGGTTTTGTTTTCCTTCTCTTTTAATTCAGCTGTATGATACTGCTATCTCTTATTTTGTTTGTGGTCCATTGAAATTCCAGGTTACTTTCACATGAACTTCTGTCCAGACAGCGTGGTCTTCCTATCCTATTCGTAATGCAGTTGTCTGTTTGTTTGTATGGTCCCTCAGAGTAGGTTTTGTGTTCATATTTCTTGGTTTTAGCTCACAGTGTTAACCTATTGAGACCCCTTAAATCCTAAAAGTCAATTCTCTGTTTTAACAATCACTGTCACAAATATATGCCCTAATTTGTTCTTCTTAGTTGCCCCCTAGTTAATTCTGTTTATTCCATTCTGTAAACATATTGAATGTCTTCCATTTCCAAACACAAAGATGTGCATTTAACTTGTAAATTTTCATATGATTTATTATCTCATTAATTTCTTCCTTTTTCTTCTTCTTACTAAATTATTAAATCTCAGATTCCGATATTTTTGTCCATTCACCTGATGATGTCTCTTAAAAAATAAGTGATCCCTATGCCTGTAGTACAGAGGGGAGAGACATGTTACATAATCATAAATATTGAACTGCATGCTATTTTTCAGAGCATTCTGGTATCTTATTTTTGTCTTTCATATGGTTAACATGTAATAAATTATATTTTCTTAATCAGTTTTTATGTTTTCTATCAAGATCAACTCATTTTAAAGATATATTAATATTTAATCAAAAAGATACAGTTGTTTATATGTCATTGCCTCTATATAGGTATATTGTAATGTTCCAAAATGAACCTGCTAAAATGAGCTTAATATATTGGTATTACAAAAAGATATGTTGGAGAACAAAAAGATATAGTATATATATATGTTTTTCTTTCTCTTTTAAATTATTTTAGTAAACAAAATTAACAGGTACATACTATCCGAAAGCAAATTCATATCATGTAATCTATTTTTCCCTTCACTAGTATTGGGTATTGTACCCCTTCAACATGTGTTTGTGATGACATTCACTCTTGATGATGGAACAGGAGTATTGGAAGCTTACCTCATGGATTCTGTAAGTAACAGGTGGTGAAGATATTTCTAACTAAAAATAATATTTTTTTTGAATTTTAATATATTTATTCATACCTGCTTTATTACTAACAAGATTTAAGGCAATGTAGAAAAAATAGTGCATAGATCTTAAATTGTCTATGTGTTTCTCTCTCTTTTGATGTTACACTATAAATCTTAATGTCCAAATAAGGAAAAATTGAGGAATAGGAATTTTAGGAGAGTCATTTTTTATACCACCCAGAAATCTGTCTCAGGAGTCAAAGGAAGTGTATAACCATGCCCTCTAAGCATTAACAATCAGCATTTCACTAGGCTTCTAAAGCCTCCTCATTTCCTATTAGAGGGAACACAATTATGTTGGTAGGGAGATAGTGACGTGGGTGAAGCTAGAGAGCTTTCCACAAGACCACCCTCCTTCCCAGCAGCAGTTCCAAGTTTGGGGATTTCCAAGACCAGCCTCACTCTGACGCAGGTTGCAAGGTCAGAGGTCCCCAAGACCACCATTAGTTTTGATAATTCACTAGAAAGACCCACAGAATTGACTGAAAGCAATTTTTTTCCCTTCTCCACCTCCCCTTCCCCCTCTCCCCCTGGTCATCACCACACTGTTGTCTGTGTTCATGAGTTTTTTATCTTTTTATTTTTCTTTTTTGCTCAATCTCTCCACACTCCATACCCAGCCGCACTCCCACCCCCACCCCCACCCCATGCTATCTTTGAGTCTCTTTGTTTTGCTTGTTAGTTTTACTCACCATTATAGTTTATTACAGCTAAAAAAAATGCAGATTAAAATCATCCAAGGGAAGAGGTGCATAGGGCAGAATCCAAGGAAGTTTCAAATGTGGAACTTTCATTTGCCCTCTTTCGTGTTGTAGAAGACGGCAGACAGAGTGACTTTCTGGCAACAGCGTGTCAGGGGACCTATGGAGTATTGCCAACCAGAGAAGCTCCACTGAGCCTTAGTGTCCAGAGCTTTTGCTGGAGTCCAGTCACGTAGTCATGGTTGAATGTACACGTGACTGATCTCAGTCTCCAGACCCCGCAGTGGTCAAGCTAATACTACATGACACAAACCCACATTGTTAGACTATCCAGTGTGACCCTGTGTCCCCAGGCAAACAAGGGCACTCCCATCAGGCATGACATCCACAGGTTTACAGATTACCTCCCAGAAGCCAAGGGAGAGGCTGGTAACATTATTTTTTTATTACACACATTGTGAAAGAATCGGGTAAGGTTGAGAATTTTCTCCTACCTAAACAATTCATGTATCCATTTATTAACTAAACTAGAGGCCCGTTGCACGAAGAGATTCGTGCAATAGGCTTTCCCTTCCCCTGGCTGCCAGCACCGGTTTTCCTCCGGCACCTGGGACCCAGGCCTTCGCTCCGGCCGGAGCCGCCTTCGGTCTTCGCTCCGCCGCTTCGCGCCTACGTATGCAAATTAACCACCATCTTTGTTGGGTTAATTTGCATAGTCTCCTGATTGGCTGGTTAGCGTAGCGAAGGTACGGTCAATTTACATGTTTTTCTATTATTAGGTAAGATGTTTAATGAGCACCTTCTATGTGCCAGGTACTATTCTTTGTGGTAAAGACATAGTAGTGAGCAAGGCAAACAAAAATCCCTTTCTTCCTTACATTCGAGTAGAAGAAGAAAAAATTAAGTAAATATGTTATACTCTTAAACTTAATATTTACACATTGTAGGCACTCAGTATATGTGTTATTAAGCAAATAGTAAGTCTCCCTGTTTTCTGATTATTATTAAGTCAGAGCCATTTAACTCAATTGTATATCTCAAATCTGTTATTAAAGTAAATCATATTTTAGAGTTCAGACTAGCACTGTCGTTTATGAATTCTGGAATCTTGATAGAGTGACATAGTCCAGATCAGTGGTTCCCAAACTTATTTGGCTTACTGTCCCCTTTCCAGAAAAAATATTACTCAGCGCCCCCTGGAAATTAATTTTTTTAAAATTTTAATAGCAATTAAACAGAAAGATGTATGTATTAATGTTTCTACCTTTTTCGTAAAATATAGTAAAGAAAGGTGTAAATTAGAAACATTGAAGTTTGAAATTATGAAACTATTTATTGAACTCAGAATAGAAAGGTAATACAAAAAAAGTTAAAACAAATGCACCTGTGGCCATCACCGCCCCCCTGGATCGCTGCAGCGCCCACCAGGGGGCGGTAGCGCCCACTTTGGGAATCACTGGTCTAGATCAGTGGTTCTCAACCTTCCTAATGCCGCCACCCTTTAATACAGTTCCTCATGTTGTGGTGACCCCCAACCATAAAATTATTTTTGTTGCTACTTCATAACTGTAATTTTGCTACTGTAAACAATATGTAATTGTATATGTGTTTTCCGATGGTCTTAGGCAACCCCTGTGAAAGGTTCGTTCGACCCCCAAAGGGGTCGCAACCCACAGGTTGAGAACCACTGGTCTAGATTATTTTAATTAGATAGTATTAAAATACAGGGGTGGGCAAAAATAGGTTTACAGTTCCTATGGAAAAAGATATGCAGGATTATGATTATTACAATAGCTTTATTAACTCAAAAGAATGTCAGTACAAATGTAAACCTACCTTTGCCCACCCCTTTTATATTAATTATAACTTGAATTAAAGATTAATATCATTTCCTTTTTCTTCTATAATTTTTAAGGACAAATTCTTCCATATTCCAGCATCAGAAATCCTAACCAATGATTACCTTCAGGAAAGTATGGATATGATCATGAATATGCTTTGCCCTCCAGGAAAAAAAATTGGTAAGCCATAGTATTTGCCATTCATTCTTTTTTAAAAAATAGCACCAGCATATATCTAAATTATGAACTTTTAGAGGTATGCAAACTTTGAAATGTGAATTCAAATAAATTACTAAGTAGTGCTTGATGACTGTATGATCTACCTTTTGATGAAGACAGTGGCAGGTATAAAATAGGTATGAATCGCCCTGACCGATTTGGCTCAGTGGATAGAGAGTCGGCCTGCGGACTGAAGGGTCCAAGTTTGATTTCGGTCAAGGGCATGTACCTTGGTTGCGGGCACATTCCCAGTAGGGATGGTGTGCAGGAGGCAGCTGATTAATGTTTCTCTCTCATCAATGTTTCTAACTCTCTATCCCTCTCCCTTTCTCTCTGTAAAAGATCAATAAAATATATTTTAAAAAATAGGTATGAATCATAGTTCCTGAAATGAAAAGGTTTTTTAAATATTTTGAAATACAATAAAGGGGAGGCAGTTTTGATCAAAGGAAATTTGACACTCTGTTTATACATACAAATATTTTATTTGAAATTATATTAACAGGGAGGAAACTTTTATAAGAAACATTTTCTGTAACAAACTCCATTTAGCCAGTTTAATTAATTGATGAATTTTCTATTCAGTATTAAATATTTTCATATTTTACAGTTTTTTATTTTACTAATTATTTTTAGCAGCTTTAGTTGCTTTTGATTTAACATTTGATTCATCAACCAAATCTTCAGGTCAAATTGTATAGATTACTATACCGAAAGCCACTGAGTATTCCTTTTGTGTCCATTATCTGTATTTACATTGAAACTTGCAGATCTAAATCATATTAAGACAGTTTGACCCTTCTAATAATTTTCCATCAGTAACAAATTTTACCAGCTGTAGATTTAACTGTTCATTTAACTTGTATAGATTTTTAAAAAATATATATGTTTATTGATTTCAGAGAGGAAGGGAGAGGGAGAGAAAGATAGAAACATCAATGATGAGAGAGAATCATTGATCAGCTGCCTCCTGCGCAGCCCCTACTGGGGATCGAGCCCACAACCCAGGCACATGCCCTCACCAGGAACCGAACCATGACCTCCTGATTCATAGTTCAGCACTCAACCCCTGAGCCACACTGGCTGGGCTTACAGGTTATTTTTAATCAGGCTTTGTTTTACCCTGGTCAGTCTATACATTTTATAGCAATTCTACAAAGATAGTTTTTTATACATTTGTAACAAAGTTTAACTTACATACTTTTATTTGATGGCAGTTTTAATTTTTGTTGGCTATTTAGATTCTTTTGAATAGATTTCTGGAAATAAAACTGTCATATCAAAAAGCACAGGTCAGGTAGACTTTTGATACATAACTTCAAAATTGCTTTTCAATAATATTTTACCTATTTATAGTTCCTGTCCTTCTTGACACTTGCCAGTATTGAGGACTAGATTAAATGTCTTTCAAATTCAAATTTGAAGAAACCATCAGAATCTTTTCTAGATGTTATAAATACACTTAACTGTGGTCATAACCAAAGCTTAGAAATGGCATCGATGGCTGCCAGCTTTGCCTTGACTCGGTACTTGGTACCTGTAGTTTTACCTTGATAAATGTGAGGTGTTCAACTGATTCGAGAAATTCAGGATCGATCCGTTTCTTTTCTTTGCAACCAACCAAGAGAGTAAATAAATAAATAAATAAATAAATAAATAAATCTGGAGATTAGCAGTTTTATAGTAAGAAATTAGCAGGAAAGAAAGGAATAAAAATTCACAATGAGGTAGTTTATAACATTCACTATCAAACATCCTGAAAATCCCACATTACTTTTTCCTGTTGTTAGAAAAAAGTTCAAATTAGTCAGAATCACTGTAAAATAATAACATGAATCCAATGTGTAATTTGGAAGAGTAGATAACATTACATTTGATAAGTATATTTATTTACTTTTCTATCTTCAAATTAAGTATGTTAATTTTTCTAGCTAAGCATTATGCTTAGATATGCCAGAGTTATTTGTTTAATTTTAATGGGTAAGTAACATTTTCTTTTGGATTTGTAGATACTTATCCGTGGTTGGAATGCTTCATCAAATCGTATAATGTCACAAGTGGAACGGAGCAGCAAATTTGCTATCAGATTTTTGACACCACAGTTGCAGATGATGTTATCTAATATTGACATTCAACTTAGCATATGTAAAATATTGTAATTTTAAAAACATTATTATTTTCTATGAGATTGCTATCAACATGTAAAAGCTTTAGCTCAGTAGTTTATTTTCCATTGTAACCACTATTTCATTAAAAAAAATAGACATTGTTTATCTTAACACCTTGTTGTAAGTTGAAAATGTTCCTGTTACTCAGAAATATCCAGTATGATGGCTGCTAGGGTTATAAAAGAAAGAGAGACAATGAATAAATTAAGACTTTCGCTTACTCTTCGTAGACTTCTCAGAGAAGCTATTTTGTTCCTGCATTAAAGTCACTTTCCCGTTGGTTTTACCACTGATTTCTCTGCCATCCCCCATCCCTGGTTGAGCTGCTTTTCTTGCCTAGGCCTTTAGATCAGCAGTGTTGGCGTTTAGCATGGTTATGGGATTAGAAGAGACCCTGGCCTTAAGTCTGAGCTTTGACTGAGTTCAAGGATGCTTGTAGTGGATTTGCTTTGCTTTAGTTTTGTACAAAGGGATCTGCTTAAACCAATACCCCTCAAAAAAATGCTTCTTCAAATGAGCCACAGTGTACTTTAAAGAGGGGTTTACTTTAAGTGGAAGTGGTAGAATTGCTTTCTTTGGGTGCTGATATTGACCAATTTAGGATAAATCCATTTTTTAGACCAGAATGATATGCTTTGATTGCTTATTTCTCTATATGATATTAGAAGTCATTCTATTTCATCCTGACTTAAGAAAGTGGTTCAGATTCACCTTTAGTGTATCTGGGTGCTGGGAATGTGGTGTACTTTTTTTTTTTTACTGTGTTTACCTATCACTTCTTTAAACTTGAAACTAACCATGTATTATGTGAACTGCCAATGTATGCATGTATGCTACTAAGAATAATGAGCACAATCATTACTGTCAGGAATTCTTAGATGTGATAAATTCCAACAATTGGGATATCTTTAAAACCCAGAAGGGGTGGGGGGGGGGGGGGGATACAGACTGCTCACCTCATTAAATAATGTTAAAACAACTGAAAAAATAAAATCATGAGTATTCAATTTTATGAAACTACTCTATATATCTGTACATATGTGTACATTTATGTATATTATTTGCTAAAGACAGATACAGATTTTTCTAGTTCAATCGTGAATAAATGCACATAATTCAGCTCTTTTGTTTGTTTGCCCTATTTGAACTCAGGCATGATTTGAAGCAAAGAATCAAAGCAGGTATATCAGTATAACATTTTTAGGACTGCACACCAGGTACTGTGCTAAGCACTTAACATGTATTGGAGTTTCACAACAACCCATTTTCCTGATAAAGAAATGGAGGCTCGATTGATGAGCTGACTTGTCTAAGTTCATACAATTATTAAATGCTAGTCAGTACTCTCCAGAGGTTGCACTGTTCCTACTTGAGGATTCTGGAGCAAAAGCCAACATGGGGTTTTCTGCAAATGCGTCCTGCCTTAAACATCTGAAACATTAGGAGTGAGAACAGTCAGTGATGTGTTTCCTTACACTCACCAAAAGGCTTGTAACATTTTATTGCAAAAAATAATTGAATATCTGATTTCCTCTGCTCATAACTAAATTCCAGTTTCTGAGCATGTTAGCACATCTCCAGACCTAACTACCCATCTCCCCTCCCACTGAAGTATCAGCTTGTTTGAGACAATGGGAAGAGACTGATGCTGCTGTTTGGGGGATTTAAACTCTTGGTTCAGAACATAAACTTGAACAGATAAGTTTCAGTGTTGCTGGTAGGCTTGGGCTGCAAAGGGAGAGAGACATTTTCTCTGCCTTCAGGAAGCACCGGGTCTAGAGGAGTAGGGGCAGCGGTGCCCCAGGCTCACAGTGTTAACCTGTGCTTCTCTGAAGTGAGGAGGGGAAACTGTGACGCTTCATGATGACGGGCTATTTCTCTTTTGTTTTCTTTTTCCTGGACACCCTACCTTGTCATCCTTAGTTTTATTTTTTAACTTCAGTTTTGAGCAAGATGAAAATTAAAATGACAATGACGTGTCACCTCACACCTGTCAAAATGGCTACCATCAACAAGTGCTGGTGAGGATGTGGAGAAAAGGGAACCCTTGTGCACTGCTTGCTGGTGGGAATGCAGACTGGAGCAGCCTCTGTGGAAAAGAGTATGGAGTTTCTTCAATATATTAAAAATGGAACTCCCATTTGACTCAGTGATCCCACTTCTAGGAATATAGCCTGAGAAACCAGAAACACCAATCAGAAAGTATATATGCACCCCTATGTTCATAGTAGTGTAATTTACAGTAAGATTTAGAAATAGTCCAAGTGCCCATCAGCAGATGAGTGGATAAAAAAGCTGTGGTACATTTACACAATAGAATACTATATAGCTGTAAAAATATAACTTACCATTTGCAACAGCATGGAGGGACGTGGAGAGTATTATGCTAAGTGAAATAAGCCAGTCAGATAAGTATCACATGATCCCCCTCATATGTGGAATGTAATGAACAATATAAACTGATGAACAAAATAGATCCAGGGACATAGACGCATGGAACAGACAGAATTTCAGAGAGAAGGTGGGGAGTGATTAACATATGCATATAATCATAGCTTGTGGATACAGACAATAGAGTGGTGAAGGCTTGGGAGGGGTGGGTACGGGGTGAAAGGGGTCAATGAGAAAAAACAAAGGGGATATCTGTAATACTTTCAACAATAAAGATAAATTTAAAAATTGTTTTAAAAATGGCATTACTATAAATACATAAAATAGCATCACGCTATAAATATATTTCTGCAACTTGCTTTTGTCACTTTATAGAGTAGACATTTTTTATGTCAATACACATAGAGTAAGTGTTCTATTTCTCATTATGCCAATACACTTTTGTAAGGATGTATTCCTATTACCTCTTTTGTTAACTTTATTACTTTATAGTTATTCATAATATTATTTTATTACTAGAGGCCCGGTGCATGAAAATTCATGCACTGGAGGGGGTGGTCCCTCAGCTCGGCTTGTCCCTCTCACAGTCCTGGACCCCTCAGGGGCGGGAAGCGATGCCCCATCACACCTCTGCTGCTGCCACTGTCAGCAGCACAAGCCTCGGGCGGCCCTGGGCGGCTGGGGGGCTAAGGGGACTGGGGGGCTCCGGAGGCAGGTGCGCGGCGGGGCTGAGGGGACTGGCCGCCGCCATATTTGAGGGTGTGGCAGTCAATTAGCATATTCCCTCCTTATTGGCTGTAGGCGCCACCATCTTTGCGACTGCCTGAGGGCCAATTAGCATATTCCCTCTTTATTAGATAGGATTATCTTAATCTGTATTTTAACTGGTGTTATTTTCCCTTTAACACATTAAGCGCCCAGTCAGTCACCAGTGACTGACACTACTTTCTGTCCAGAAGACAAAACAGGCTAGGTGCTTAACATGTTAAATAAACCTGGAGCCCCTGGGATCTAGTTTCAGCATATTTTCTGGAGGTTTTCAGGTGATCAGAATTTTGAAAGCCTGTCCAGACATCATAATACATATAGGAATTCTGCCATGACATAGGTACCTTGAAATATTCTTTCATACGTTAAAGAGCTCATTGCGAAAAGAATTATGTTAATATCAGAAAGGAAAATGCCTTCTGTATTACTTTTACTATGAAACTCAGGCTTTGTGAAGGCAGTGAGGTCACTGAAGTTCTAGAACATCATTTTAGGGGAAGTAAAACTATCTCTTCCTGTGCCCTCCCCTCAGGATCTCTGGATAGTGTCGAAGCCTCCTACACCCCAGAAAACGGAGACCTAGTCAGCCAGTAAAATCTGGGCACAGTGATCTCTTCCCTATGCTACTTGGAAATGGTATCGGAACTCCCCAGTGTGCTCTGGTATGTGAGATTCTGTCTGCTTTTGGCAGTCGGGAAATGAATCAGTAGCACCCTGCAATATTGTCATTTGAGCTGTTAGGAAATTTGAGATCACTTGCAGTTTCAAAGTGATGATCCTCTTACATGGAGATGAATGTCCCTTCCATTCAGGACTGCATTTGATGGGTTGAGAAGTGCTAGGCATCAATTACATGACAAGGAAATGCATCAATGCATATGGGAGCTCTCCCTCAGATGTGCCAGTTGGTGAAACATGGACAGTTCAGAAACTCCTCAGCTATTTTTAGACAATAGCAACATCTTAATTTTTATTTTTTTCCCTTAGAATCTAGGCCACAAAGTCACATTGGGGGGTGTGTGTGTGTGTGTGTGTGCGCGCGCGCGCGCCCGCACACGTGCATGTGGCTTACTTTTATTCTCTGATTTGAGTTTACTTTGCAGGGTATTATATTGTATTTTACTTGACAATCTAGTCATAAACTGCCAAAGAAAGACATTTTTTAACTGTGTGAACAGTTTCTTTTATTTCAGCTATTTGTTCACAATGTTTTGAAGATTTGGAGCATGTGTTCACTGAAAACCTATTTATCATCTCTTCATAAAATATTCCATCAAATATTGTAGTTCTGAACAAGTACCTTTTCACATCTAATCTTAAAGTTCAAGTATATACCTTCTTTTTTTTCTACACGTTTAGAAACAATTTCCGGAGGATGAGGCCCAGGAGTCAGGATTTAAAAAAGATTCCCAGGTGATTCTAATGTGCAGCCAAGGTTGAGAACCACAGCTATAGATAATATTAAAAATATATTTAAACGTGCAATTCTTTGTCCAAAAAATGAGCATGTTCAAAAATTAAATGAAGAAAATTTGGATATACTCGATGGAGATTTTCACACATATTTGAGTGATGATTCCATTGATTCCACAGATGATGCTGAAAAGGAAAACTTTCCCATAGAATTTCTTAATAGTATTACTCCTTTGAGAATGCTGTGTCATAAATTAAAATTGAAAGTGGGTGCAATCATCATGCTATTGAGAAATCTCAATAGTAAATAGGGTCTTTGTAATGGTACCAGATTTATTAGCCAAAGATTACGACCTAACATTATCGAAGCTGAAGTATTAACAAGATCTGCAGAGGAAGAGGTTGTTCTGATTCCAAGAATTAATTTGTTCCCATCTGACACTGGCCTCCCATTTAAATTGATTCGACGATGGTTTCCCGTGATGCCAGCATTTGTGATGACTATTAATAAATCACAAGGACAAACTCTAGACAAAGTAGGCATATTCCTACCTGAACCCATTTTCCCACATGGTCAATTATATGTTGCTTTCTCTCAAGATTGAAGAGCATGTGACATTACAGTTAAAGTTCTAAATACTTCATCAC